AATAAAAAGGTAATATGCTAATTAGACTGGGAGACCTTCCAGGAGACATGGACGTTCTGGACAAAGCCATGGTGGCAGGAACCAGGTACAGGTGGTTAGAGGCCAAGAGGGGAGAGCAGTTGTGGATGATCAGGCCAGGATGGGACGGCAGTTGTGGGTGATCAGGCTGGCGGGAGGAGGGGAGCATTGAGGGTGATCAGGCCGGTGGGGGGTTAGGGGCAGTTGGGAGTGAGCAGACCAGCAAGGGGGCCATTTGGGGGATAGCATAGCAGGCTGTCAGTGGGGGTCAGTTGGGGCTGATCAGGACGGGGGGGGGGGGCAGTTGAGGGTGAGCAGGCCAGCCGGGGGGCAGTTGGGGATGAGCAGGCCAGTGGGGAGGGCAGATGGGGATGAGCAGGCCAGTTGGGGGAAAGCAGGCCGGCAGGGGGTGCAGTTGGGGGTGATCAGGCTTGCAGGGGGGCATTTGGGGGCGAGCAGGTTGGGGGTCAGTTGGGGGCAAGCACTCTTGCAGGCAGAGTGGTTAGGGGCAATCAGGCAGGCAGGCAGGTGAGCAGTTAGGAGCCAGCAGTCCCAGATTGTGAGAGGGATGTCTGACTGCTGGTTTAGGCCCGATCCCTGTAAACCAGCGGTTGGACATTCTTCAAGGGGTCCCAGATTGGTGAGGGTGCAGGCCGTGCTGAGGGACACCCTTCCCTTTCTCCCCCCATGCACAAATAATACCGGGCCACTAGTTATAAAATATTGAAATTTCTGGAGAAAAGATATCAAAACACATACAAAGATATTCGAACAGCACAAGCCAGTGGCTTAACTGGTTGGAGTGTTGTTTCATATACCAAAGGATGGCAGGTGTGATTCCTAGGTTGTGGTTCAATCCCCACTGGAAACAACTGATGGATTTTTTCCCCCCTCTCTTTCTTAATCTTTCCCTCCCTTTTTTCCTCCCCTCTCTCTCTCTCTCTCTCTCTCTCTCTCTCTCTCTCTAAAAAAAAAAAAAAAAAATCAGTGAAAACATATTCTTGATGAGGGCTGAATTTAAAAAATATTCAAACAGTATGGAGTATGTAATGAAAAATTTTAATTTTATTTCTCAATTAGTATTAATAACATATATTTACAAAAACATATAAAGCACATACAAGCATACACAACATACTTACATGGACTTTTATATACACATCTAAAAATTATTCTTTAATATTTTACTATACCTTTCTGTCAGTAACCTGGTACACATCAACAGATGTTTTAATTGAATTAACCAATGTTCTTTATTAGCAGCTGGTCAGTGTTCTTGATACATTTAATTTTTAAAGTGCTATTTAGTTTCCCTAAAAGATACGTTTTCAAGCATCTGAGACTAATTTTTTTAACTGATGTAAAATTTCATTCTGTCATCAGTTCTAAAGTATTAAATGTAAATATGAATTAGACTACTTACATGCATGATTTATAAAGTCAGTCCGCATATCTTATAGTCACACTGTCTAATGCATTTAGTTTTTAGACTTAATAAAACTTACATACAGGTCTTACCAGTTTGTGGATTATGATGAAAGTCCCGGATCATTCAGTTTCTGAGTTATAAAATAAATATTAAGAAGTTACACAATCCTGGAATTAGAAGAAATGCTGATACAGTTCATATTAGAATATGCAGCTTCTTTCTTTACTTAACAAATATATTTTAATGATTTCAGAGAGGAAGGGAGAGGGATAGAGAGAAACATCAATGATGAGAGAGAATCATTAATTAGGCTGCCTCTTACATGCCTCACGGGGGGAGAAGGGGATAGCGGGGGGGATCATCAAGCCCCCAATCCCCTAGGTCCACACTCAAGCACTAAGCCACACTGGTTGGGCTGTAGCTTCTTTCTTAATAAAAAAGGTTAATTTTTCCAATCTCTTTTTTTTATATTAGAATATTTGGAAGGGCATTTGCTTGTCCTGAAAAAAAATGTGGCTGTATCTAAAGAAGCATACTTATTTTAGAGCTATAAAATTACCTTATATAACTCTTAAATCCAAAGTACACTTTATTTACAAAATCTGTTATGGGCTAGTACAATAAAAATTTAAATTACTTTCTTCATAAATAATTATTTTCCTGACATGGTGAAATACAGTTCAATGAATTATGACATGAATGTTATGATATCATGGTTATTGTTATTTTAAAAGTATTGTGGCTTTTTTTTCTTGGAAAATAGAAAGTATTGGGGCTTGGAACTAAAAAAAATGTATTTTTTTCAATGGCCATATTAATGCTGTGTTTTAATAAAATTAAACTGTTTGCTTTCCTCAAGGAATTTTCCTATTGCATAGGTGATTTCTTTCAGAGTATAATGGAGGGATAATGTATGGTGATCAACTAAGTTTTAACCTATATCTTTATGTCTGATTAAAAATATTAAAATGAGGGAAAGAAAGAAATACTTAGAAAACTAACATTTGGATACTTCACATCATAAAAAATATTTACCTGAAATCAGCCAACGTCAGTACTTAACATTCCATGAATATCAGGACTAACTAAAACAGTGAGGTCTGGTATTGCAAAACCAGAATATTGACTGATATTATAAGTTCATCCTATTTGATGTACATGTTTAAATATACAGGTTAGAAACAAGAATAAACTAAGGAGTAGCTAAGACATGTGACTAAGAACACAAGTAGAATTTCTGGTTAGGTCAGTAATGGCCAGTTAAACTAACATATCAGGAAAATCAAGATGTTAGATATGTGGTCAAAGAATGTGAATAGAAAATTCACACAAATACCCCCAAAAGGTAGTGGCCAATATGTTTTTTAAAGAATGTGCATGTTCACCAGGAACCAAAGAGATGCCTAGATAATTAAAATATAATTGTATAGTATGTTAAATTGGTGCATTTAAAAATACTGATTGACAATAGCTATTATGTGGTGCTGATGGAACTCAAATTGCTATGTATACTTATTCTGGAAATCAGTTTAAGCAATATGTATCAAGGATTCGTGCACTGGTGAGGAGTGTGGCCTGCGCAGATCGGGCCACTGTGGGAGCCCTGCTCATCCCAGTCTTCTGTGCAATATGGACCTGCCCTCTGAGCGGCTGCCCCCTGGTCTGGCATCTTCCGTGGAGCCACAGCACTCGCCTTTCCAGGGGACCCAGTTGGGGCTGGGCCCAGGAACAGTAGCACTGAGAGGCAGTGGAATAGGCCTCACTCCTGAGGCAGTGGCCACAAACCTTCATGCATGGATCGGGTGGGGGTGAGGGTGGGGGAGTCAGGCTTAATCCGGCAGTTGGACATCCCTCTCACAATCTGGGACTGCTGGCTCCCAACCACTCACCTGCCTGATTGTCCCTAACTACTTCTACCTGCTTTCCTGATTGGCCCTAACCTCTCTGCCTGCCAGCCTGATTGCTCCTAACTGCCCTCTCCTGCCGGCCTGTTCTCTCTCCCCTAACGACTCTCCCCTGCCAGCCTGATTGCCCCTAAGTGCCTCTGCCTGCCTGATTGCCTCTATCACTAGCCTCTGGCAACCACTCAGCTATTTATGTTTCTATAGGTTTGCCTATTCTAGACATTTCATATGAATGGAATGGTACAATATATGGCCTTCTGTATCTGGTTTCTTTCACTTAGCATATTTTCAGGGTGTATGTTGTAACATGTGTGAGTACTTCATTTCTTTTTGATGGCCAAGTAATATTCCATTGCATGGATATACTACATCCTATTCATGTGTGCATTGATAGACATCTGGTTCATTTGTTGTGAATACAGTCATGCGCTACATAATGTTTCAGTCAAGGACAGATCACATATACATAGTGTTCCAATAAGATTATAATGGAGTTGAAAATTCTTATCACCTTGGTGGTGACACCTTATGGTCATAATTTAAAAGCTCATTACTCGTGTGTTTCTGGTGATGCTGGTATAAACAAACCTATGCTGCCAGTTATATAAAAGTGTAGTATATGCAATTATATACAGTACATGATAATAAGAATAAATGGCTGCTATTGCTTTATGTACTATATATTTTTTTATTAAATTATTATCTGTGTACATATTTTAACATTGCTCCCCCCCAGAGTTTTGTGTACGTATGTACTCTATTTTTAATCATTATTTTAAAGTATATTCTTTCTACTTATGAATTAAAATTTGTTGTAAAACATTATTCCATGTTACACCAACAACAGTCTTATACATCCCATGTTTACTATGTCTCTTGATCATTTTTTGTGTGCTGTATTTAATGTCATTTTATTTTGTATGGTAACATGCTGTACAGGCTTATAGCCTGGGAGCAGTTATCATCTAGATTTATATAAGTATGCTCTGATGTTTGTATAAGGATGAAATTGCCTAATGACACATTTTTTCAGATCTAGAATTTCCTGGAAATGTTTTATAGTCTGTCTTTCTGCTAAGATTTCCTCTACTTTTGTTCATTGTGCACTTGCATTTACTTCGCCTAGCATAATTATAATAGCTATTTTAAAATATTAGTCTACTAATACTTATATCTGGATTATTTTGGGATTGTTCCCTGTTAATAGTGTTTTCTCTTGAGACTGGCTCACAATTTATTAGTTCTTATGTATTAAGAAATTTTGGACTGTGTAGTGGACAATGTGTAGAGACAGGATTCTGTCCTATTTTTCAACTTTCATATTTTTTACTAATAAATTGGCTAGTCAGACTCAATCTGCAACTCCTAGGCAACAGTTCAAAACTTTTATTTCTTCTTTTTTTGCCTTTAGATTGGTTGGTATTATGCCTTGCATGTGCATTGTTCAGGAGTTAGCCAGAGATTTGGGCAGGGAAATATGAGTTTGTTTAATTGGTATGGGCATTTTTACCTTAGTTTATTGCTTTAATAGAATTTCTAGATCTTAGTTTTATTAACTAGAAATTATTGTAAAGAATTGATTGCCATTATCTTATTTTGGTAATTAAATAAAAATCTGTTTAATTCTTCTATTTTTCTCTTCATTACAGATAGAGCTGGAAGCATCAGTACTCTTGATTCTTTAGACTTTGCAAGATATTCAGATGATGGTAACAGGGAAACAGATGAAAGAGTGGCAGGTGAGTAAGATTTTAAAGACAGATTTGGATTTTTAGGCATTCCAGAAATAATAAAATGACTTGAGGAATTCTTTTTCTTCTACAATTTGGTATGTTAATATATAGTTATTATGCAAAATTATTTTTTATTAACTTATTGGCGCCAAGGAACAGCTCAACATGTAACTTCCTCTTCCAGTGTTGCTATGAGTTTGTGGTTATGCAATTTTCTGAGTTCTTATAACCAACAGTTTACAATCAATAGTTATGAAACTGATGTGAACAGCTTTAAGTTAGCCATAGTTTAGTACAAAGTTGGACTTTGGCTTTGTTATTACTTTGATCCTTCAAACCAGGGCTGATGTTGTATGCCAATACAACTCTGAGAATTGTTCAAATTGGTTGAAATACTTTCCTGTAGGTTGTTTAATAAATTTTGTCTTGAGTTCCCCAGGTATTCTTCATCACAGCATCTCTTCAGAAACTTCTCCTGACTTTCCTATGATTCAGAAAAGAAAGGGTTAATGCTTGGTACAGCAGGGGCCTTTAGGACCTTGCCCATTCCAGGATGACCAATAACATTCTTTCTGGTTGCTTGGTTACTTATTCTAGTTTTCTTCCCCTCCCCAACCTTCAGCAAGTTCTGCCTTCTAAGCATCACCACTGGATCTGTAGAGACTTCAGAAGATCAGTTTTTATCTGTGTTCTGCCTACCTCAAGTGAGGCCAGTTGTATTCTGCTGGGGATCTACCCTGTAATTACCAGTGTAGCAGCACTGGCTCTTTAAATGTTAAATGGCCTTGTAGAAATTGTGGTTTTCACAGGACATTGGTGGGGATAGCAGATTGATATCAGTTAAATACTTCGATCTTCATCATAATGGTGGGCACTCTTGGAGCAAGAGGGATGCTACATGGGCCAAAGGAGCCTGTGGAGGCAATATAAAGTATGGAATACCCATAATGTGGATTCTTCTGTTGACCAACTGTTCAATTTTTTTCTTCCATTTACTGGGACAATTTTGTTAAACCTACCAAATGTTTACCCATCGTAGTCTTCTATAATAATAAAAGCATAATATGCAATTAGACAGGATGTCCTTTTGGACGACCTTCTGGATGAAGCCCAGGCTGTGAGGGAAGCCAGGTTCCCAGGTACCTGCTGGTGGATGGAGGGAAGCTCAGGTACCGGGTGCCAGAGGGAAGCCGGTCCTGGCAGCTGGGGAAAGGAAGGCCAACTCTTGCATGAATTTCATGCATTGGACCTCTAGTTATAATAAAAAATGTGAATGCTAATTTTTACATAGCACTCCATTCTAAACACTGTGCTAAATGTATATTAAACCATTGAATTATAGAATTCTCCTCCTCCTCCCTAGGAAACTTCAGTGGCAGAGTTAGGATTCAAATGCAGATAGCCCAGCAACAGAGCCAACAATTAACTGTATCTTATGCTACCTCTTAGCATGAAGGATGAGGTTTGACCTGATTAAGAATGACATTCAAATATATGATTTTTATTCATTGCTTAACAATGAAGATATTGAATATTTAAAAATCTCATTGTATTATACAATTTAAAAATGATGTAACTGTTTTTGGTTCAGAAGCTAAGAGAAGATTCAGCGGTACAAGCAATAGCAATGCCATTTGAATGGGGATGTCAGTGAAAGAGTTAAATGTGGCTCCCTGTATCAAATCATGATTTGTAATAAGCATTATGAATTTTTGTTTGTTAACCCTCACCCAAGGATTTTTTTCCATTGATTTCTTTTTTAGAGAGAGTGGAAGGAAGGGGGAGAGACCAGGAGAGAGAAACATCAATGTGAGAGAGACATATCGATTGGTTGCCTCCTGCAAGTGCCCTGACCAGGGCCAGGGATTGAGCCTGCAACCAAGGTATAGGCCCTTGACTAGAATCAAACTCAGGACCCTTCAGTCTGTGAGTGGACGCTCTATCTACTGAGCCAAAGTGCTTAGCATTATTGACAGATGTATGAAAAACAGTAAATCTAGCCCTAGCTGGTGTGGCTCAGTGTGGAGCAGCGTCCCAAGTTTGATTCTGGTCAAGGTTATGTACCTTGGTTGCAGATTCCTAGCATCATTCTCACCATCATTTTCCTAAATTTAAAAATCTGATTTCCCCCCCTCCCTCAAAATCTGTATAGGTGTTCCTTCAAAAAGGAAGCAGTGAACAACTGTTTATTGAGCACCTTCTCTATGTACCTCTTAAATTTTAAAGTTTTCTTAAAAATGCAACAAGGGCAATTTATAGTTTAAATATTGGGATTGCCAGTCTTTATTTTAAGCATTTTAAACATCTGCTATGTGTTCAGACTGTTATGCACTGGAAATAGAAATATGACATACATAATACCTGCCCTCAAGGAATGTGTACTGAAATATGTCTATATCTTCAATGCAGATTAATGTTAAATGCTTTGGCATTAGTGAAAAGGACCTGTGAATTGCGGAACCAATAATATTCTTGTCTCAGGTTCACAGGATCCATCTTTTAGCCTCAATCTCTGACTTTATTTGTTCTCATATCTCTACCTGTTACTATATTACTTCTCTAGTTCACATCTTAACTTTCATGTTGGGATCTAGAGAGCTAAAAAAAACTGTGCTTTCTAATTTGTACGAAAGACACTCCTAATGCTGGTAAGATCAGTAATGTTTCAGGTTTATTACATAAGGCAGTAAGTATTAGCATACTCATTTATTCAAAATATATTTGAATGCTTACTCTGTATTCAAGGTATTATGCTGTTCTTGGGACAATCATATGAAGCCTTTATAAAGCTTAAATAACCTATTAGACATCCTATCTAATAAAAGAGTAATATGCAAATTGACCATCATTTCAACACACAAGATGGCTGCCCCCATATGGACACAAGATGGCTTCCACAAGATGGCCTGCTGGGGAGGGCAGTTGCGGGGACCAGGCCTGCAGGGGAGGGCAGTTTGGGGAAACCCAGGCCTGCAGAGGAGAGCAGTTGCAGGAGACCAGGACTTCAGGAGAGGACATTTGGGGGGAACCAGGATGGTAGGGAAGGGCAATTAGGGGTGACTAGTTCAGCAGGGGAGGCAGTTAGGCATTAATCATGCAGGCAGTGGAGCAGTTAGGCATTAATCATGCTGGCAGGGGAGAAGTTAGGCAGTGATCAGGCTGGCAGGCAGAAACTGTTAGGGGCAATCAGGAGGGCAGGCAGGCGAGCAGTTGGGAGCCAGCAGTCCTGGATTGTGAGAAAGATCGGGCCTAAATGGGCAATCAGACATCCCTCGAGGGGTTCCAGATTGGAGAGGGTGGAGGCTAGACTGAGGGATATCCCCCTCATGCGTGAATTTTGTGCACCGGGCCTCTAGTTCTAAAATAACATTCAGATTTTTGCTTGTGGGATATCTTGACCCTGTTCCCTGGGTAAGACGCAGCATCAGTAGTGCTCTCATTTCTTAACTATTGGCCTGCAATATACGTATCCAGCTTTATCAGGATTAAATAAGCCTGTTTGTCTTTATTATATACTAGTGGCCTAAACCAGTAGTCACACATCCCTTCCACAATCTGAGACCGCTAGCTCCTAACCGCTCACCTGCCTGCCTACCTGATTGCCCCTAACTGCCTCTGCCTGCCTGATCACCCCTAACTGCCCTCTCTTGCCGGCTTGATGTTGTCCCCAACTGCCCTCTCCTGCTGTCCTGATCTCACCCCCAACTGCCCTCCCCTGCCGGCCTGATCTTCCCCCAATTGCATTCCTCTGCTGGCCAATTTGGTTCTAATTGGTTCTATGCCAGTCATTGTTAAAAGTTCCACCTCCTATGCAGCTTTTGGCTCCTCACAGTTGACCCAGATTTGGTTCTAATTGGTCAGTTTCTATGCCAGTCAGCGTCAAAAGCTCTGCCTCCTCACAGTTGACCCAGATTTGGTTTTGATTGGCCAATTTCTATGTCTCTGGGCCTATCAACAGGGCCTGATCAGAAAAGCAGGGCTGATCAGAAACCCTGTGGAGGCTCGAAGAGAAATGAAGGCAGAGACTGGAGAAGGAGAAGGGAGAACAGAATTGAAAAGGAGATGGTGAAATTCATTTAGATAGGATTGAATTAAAAACTTATGAAACATTGAAATGGGCACATCCAGGTGATAATTAGGTAGATTTTTATCTTGGGGAAAAGGTTTAAAGGTTTTGAATCTTCTGGGATTATGATTTTCATAAGTATGAATATCATCTCATTGGAGTATGTAGATTAAGAAAAGGGCCTGAGAAACACCAACTTTGACATGAGTAATAGCGGAATCTGTATAAGAGAATTTGGGCAGGAGGAACAGTAATGGAAATAATTTTTTTTAAGTCTTAGGGAAGGTGATTCTCTCCCTGCCACCCCACAATTTGATGACTGTAGAAAACTAAATATCTATAAACTGGAGATTGCATCTTGCTTCATTTAATTTATTTCTCACATCTACCAAGTCATGCCTAAATAGTACTATGCCTTTCTTAATTCTTTAATCCCAGGAAGGTGCTGCTGGTACTGTCAGGATTTTAATATTGTTTTAGGGAATATATTTTTATTCTAACTCATAGTCTTAAGGAATTTTTTTCTAGAAATGCTTGTGTGATAACAATATAAGTATTAAAGTTGAGGAAATGGTATTTCATGATGAAATCAAATCACTTTATATTAAGAAGAAAGTGGCAGGTTGCTTGATTCAACCCTATTGATTTGAACTCTTCAATACTGAATAGGAATGGGAGTAAAAAAATATTTGACTAACCAATGTTATGGAAAAGGTCTTCCAAAATAATATTTTGAGTTTTGTGGCAAATGAACTAAGACTGGCAAATATTTCAAGATCATATTAGTGGTATATTAAGTTGGGGCATCAAAGGATTGATTTTTTTTCAGCTTTGAAATTTAATACTTTGCCTTTGGTGTTTCCATAGTCAGTTTTATATCTCCCAAGTTATGAAAGCATGGTCTTTTAGCATTTAAATACCTCTGATTATCAGGATTGTCCAACCTTGGTTGGGAAATAACTTTTAACTAATCTTGAGTTGCTTATACTGATTTAATCATTAATATTTTGGTAAGATTATAATATGCATTATTAGAATATACCTACATCTTTTCAGTTATTACTTTAGTTCCAATAAAATTGCATTCAGCAGTGTTGGGCTATTAATAGGGTTGTGATGATGGAATGAGCAGATTGTTTATTGGTTCCTACAGTGTTCTTTAAAAACATATACATCATGCTCTGGTTTCTCTTCAGATCGCATAAATCTTTTGCCTTTTTAAAAACATACACATCCTCAAACGTTTTTATAAAGAAGTATTTTTGAAAAATTCTTGAAGAGTGTTTAGTTCAGTGTTCTTTTATAAAGAAGTATTTTTGAAAAATTCTTGAAGAGTGTTTAGTTCAATTTTGAGCTTTCGGCTAATAGACAAATTTGTGTGTGTATATAACTGTTCAGACCTTGTTAAACTTTCTCATGTAACTAAAGTTAATTTATCGTACTATGCCTTTATAGAGATGTGCTATAACTTCAAAGATATGCCTCTTATCTTTTAAAATTTATAGTGTATAATACTGAGAAACATGCAGCAGAGTGAATTCATTTTGATAGGCACTATCTTTTCAAAGCATTGCTGATTTTTAATGGCATTTGGCCGTGTATATGTAGATGTGCATAAACTCTAAATTCTTGCCGTCTGACATGGGTTTTTATGGCTTTCTGTGCCTTGATCATTTAGTGTTTTGCTTTTGGTCACCTAAACTTCTACCAATTGAATTTGAGTTTTTCACAGTTTGTGTTTTAACCATTTTTCCCATTTATTTTTTTCATATTCTGTCTCTGGTGCAAGGCATTTCTGTTCTGCAATTGTTCTGTAATATATCTTAGTAAATTGTGCTACTAAAAGCATAATAATATGTGCATTCATTTTACTTTACTGAAGTATTTTTAAATCAAAATCAATTACTTTAGAGTTTTTAAATTAAAAAAAAAATAAAATAAACCTATTCTGTACTTACCCTTACTCCTTAAATGTGTGTAGTCTAACTTTAAACATAGACTCTAAGAGTTTCCAGAATTGTAAGTTTTAGGGAAAATATTTTAATTTCGTTGCACAGAAATGTTTGCAGATCAGCATTGCCGACTACCAAATGAGAAATAGTACACATACATGTCATCTGATTTTTAGTTGTGTTTCCATGTTGTTGCAGTGAAATTCTGTGAGTCAAAATAATTGGCCTCATGTACTAGATGTGAATTAGTTACATCTTAAGTTTTTAATGAAAATATGCAAACTGAGTGAATCCTGATTTTTCCATATATTTTTATAGCTTTGTTGTCTCTGGTAGCATCTCATTTGCCATATTATTTTTTCTGTTTATTAATCAATTTGGAAAAAAATTGCATATTTAAATTTGCTAGTTTTTATGCAGAACTATTTACATACTATAGTTTTTTAATATTTAGTTGTGACAAAGATGACTTAATTTTTCTAGAGGTTTACTTTACAGAAATGGCTTTGTTTATAATTTGAGCAGTGTTCATATATTTTAAAGAAAATTCCTAGTTAAGACACAGTTAAATCTTTTTCATGATGAAACATTTTAAAGAGTTTATTAAAATGTTTCCTCAGTATTGTTTATCTTATAATCAAGCTCTGGTAAAAGGAGACATTTTTGAGTTTCACTAGTGCCTCCTAACATAAACAAATACCTATTTGAGGTTATCAGAAACTTTGAAAACTCTAATTTTAGTTAATATCCTTAGATAACTACATTTTTGTAATTGTACACAATCTTTTGCTTTAGAATAATCTTAATTAAAATTAAAAGACAAACTATTTCCACCCTTTGGCTGAAAATGAAACCTAAAATAAACCCTTAAGAATTTTTTTAAGATATGTATTTAACATATCTAAACATGTTTGTAAAAGACATACACTTGTGTGTAGAAAATTTTATAGGCTTCCCAACAAAATATTTATTCCTTTAGCATCTTAATGAAGTGATATATTCATTAACAATTTTTATATTGACTTATAACATTATTCTAGACAATGCATTAAAAATACCTTTTTTAGTCCTACCTGGTTTGGCTCAGTGGCTAGAGCATCAGCCTGTAGACCATAGGGTTCTGGGTTCAAGTCCAGTCAAGGACATGTGCCTCTGTTGCAGGCTTCTCCCCTTCCCCAGTCCCGGTCCAGAAACATACAGGAGGCAACCAATCGATATGTTTCTCTCACATTGATATTTTTCTCTGTCTTTCCCTCTCTCTGAAAATCAATGGAAAAATATCCTCAGGTTAGGATTAAAAAAAAAAAAAAGATACCTTTTTTAAAATTGATTTTAGAGATAGTGGGAGAGAAATAGAGAGATAGAAACATCAATGAAAGAGAAACATCGATCATTTATCAGTTGCCTCCTTCACATCCCCAACTGGAGATCAAGCCTGCAACCTGCTCATATTCCCTGACCTGGAATCAAACTGATGACCTTTGGTTCATGGGTCAATGCTCAGTCACTGAGCCAGACCAGCTGGGCCCTTTTTCTTTTTAATCCTGAGGTTTTCCTTAAGTATATTTGCTTGGACTTCATCTAATTTTTATCTTTTCCTCTAAAATTATATAACCTGAGAATATTTCATTTCCTTACCTAGATTGACAGAAGCAGAAGCACCCACATTACTAATATTTTTATTTACTAGAAAAGATTATACCATAGGCTTTATTTTTAAATAGATCCATTTCTTGTCAGACAGCTAGAATATTTTATCAGTAGTCCCCTGAATTCTAAAACTATGGAAAACATTCACCAGTTTGCTTGCTAATCAACTCTGCTGCATGCGTTCACAAGTTTCATAAAGATTGCATGCTTTCTGTTTTCAATACAAATTGTATTTTTTTTTCATACCCATCTTTGCTTTTTATTTTTTTTATTTTTGTTTCCCTTTTCTTGGTTGGATGCCTGTGTGTGTTTATTCCAAATCCCTGTCCAGTCCTGGAGTTTGAACTACGGAAAGCCAAGGAGACCATTCAGGCCCTCCGAGCCAACCTGACAAAGGCTGCAGGTGGTGTACATAAAATTTTTTGCGACTTTTCCTTTTTTGACAATGTAGAAGTAGCTGAAATATTTTCAAATGTTAAATAGTAAAATACTATTTATATTTTCTTCCACCAGAACATGAAGTTCCTTTACAGGAACGAAAAAATTACAAATCAAGTCCTGAAATTCAGGTGGGTGAATGACAGCTCTAAAAGTATCGTCCACATAAAATGGTAGCACAAATATTGAAGGAGGAAAACTTATGGTATTTTATCTTATTTTGCCTCCAGGAGCCAATCAAACCTCTTGAAAAGAGAGCTCTAAACTTCTTAGTCAATGAATTTTTATTGAAGAATAACTACAAGCTTACATCAATAACCTTTTCAGATGAAAATGATGACCAGGTACAGTTATTTTTTTAGCTTAAAATGTACTTTTCTTTTTAGCTTAAAATGTATTTTTCTCTTTTATTTCTTTAATTTGTCTAAGTTATACATATAGTAAGCTTCTTCTATAAGGTTAGCTACCAAACATTCGCTTGCTTACCCAGTCTAGTATTCTATTTGACCTATAAATTTCTTCTTTTCATATAAAAGACTTCTTATTCTTTCCAGGTAACTTTTAACAACTTATAAATAGAAAATGTAATCTACTCATATTTTCATGTATTTATAGAGTGTGCTAGATTATTTTTCCCTTTAAACATTTATTTAGTAGTACAGGTTAATGTATACTTATAAAAACCTCTCTAATAATTCTAAAATAATTAAGATGATAAATAGATAATAGCAGTTGCAAGAATATTGTGAATAAAGTGTGAATATAAATAGTATCTGTTTGAATAGGAACCACTTTTATTATTTGTTTGTTTGTTTGTTTATTTATTTAAATCTTTATTGTTGAAAGTATTACATATGTCCCATTTCCCCCCCTAGAATAGGAACCAATTTTTAGAACCTCATTATTTTCCTTATAAAATCTTATAAGCAAAGCTTTTTTGTTATCTCTCAACTATAATACTTTGACTTCTTAGTGCTAATAAATTAGTTTGAATCTTGCACCTTAGGAAAGTAAATACCAAAGAATTTACTTTATAGAAATCAAGAGGCCATCATTTTAATTAGGTGAATTCCATTAGTCCTTAAAATATCCTGTGGATTATTTAACAAAAATAGACATTCTCAAAGGGAGATAGCAGGTTTTCCTCAGTTATCCTACATAACATTTCTATGTAATATCATATTATACAACAATTCTACATAACATTTTACAACAATGTGTAAAAAAAGGTTAATACATTATGACCAAATGGGTTTTCCAAAAATGTAAGGTTGATTTAATATCCAAAAATCAGTCACACTGTAAAATTACAGCGGGGAGAGTAGGGAGATCTGGGGCAGATAAGAGATCAACCAAAGGACTTGTATTCATGCATATAAGTATAACCAATGGACACAAAACTCTGGGGAGGGGGGGCAATGTTAAAATATGTACACAGATAATAATTTAATTAAAAATTAAAATAAAATCAATGGAAACATAAATAAAAAAAAATCAGTCACAGTGATTCACTATATAAAGAAGGAAAAGAGAAGACAACTATATAATCATCTCAGACCATGCAGAAAAAGCATTTGACACAAATATCCAGTCCCCCTAAAAACTTTAAAGAAATTAGGAATAGAGAGGAATTTCCTCAACCTCATAAAAACATTTGTGGAAAAGCTATCACTAATCATACTTAAGGGAAAAGCAAGGCTATGTGCTTTCACTTCTGTTGAGCGACTCTAGCCAACAGAAGGCAAGACAAATTAAATGCTCGAATTTTGAAAAGGAAGAAATTGTCTTTATTCACTTTTGACAGGATTATGTATACAAGAAAATCCTATGGACTATCCCACAAAGATACTAAAACTAATAATTAATTATAGCAAGGTTGTAGGATACAAGATCAAATAAATTTTTAAATGTTATTTACAAACTATCAAGAAATAGGAAATACTTAGGGATAAATCCGATAAAGGCTTATACACTGAAAACTATTATACATGCTGAGAATAACTAAAGCACATGTCCATACCAAGGCTCCTTTATAATATTAACTAGTGGCCCAGTGCATGAAATTTGTGCACAGAAGGGGGTGCTCCCTCCACCGTCTCCAATCTGGGACCCCTTGGGGGATGTCTGACTGCTGGCAGTAACACATTTCTCTCACAATCTAGGACCGCTGGCTCCTAACTGCTCACCTGACTGCCTAACTGATCGCCCCTAACTGCCTCTGCCTGCCTGATCATCTCTAACTGTCTCTGCCTGCCTGCCCATGCCTAACTGCCCTCCCCTGCTGGCCTAATCTCACTTCCAGCTGCTGTCCCCTGCTGGCCTAATCTCAGCTCAACTGCCCCTGCCTACCTGATCACCCCTAACAGCCCTCCCCTTCCAGCCTGATCTCACCCCCAACTCCTGCCTCCTGCCGGTTTCCAACTGCCCTGCCTGCCTGATCACCCCTAACAACCTTCCCTGCCAGCAGGATCTCGCCCCCAACAGTCCTCCGCAATGGCCTGAGCTTGCCCCCAACTGCTCTCCTCTGCTGGTCTGATCATCCGTAACTGCCTCTGCCTATCTGATCACACCTAACTGCCCACCCTTGCTGACCTGATCTCGCCCCTAAATACCCTCTCTGCCTTGGCCCGCACCACCATGGCTTTTTCAAGAAGGAAGTTGGACCATCTGGACGATGGCCAGTTGACCTGGTCTAATTAACATATTACCTTTAAGTTAGTATAAATAGATTGTATAGGATAGGATTGCTTAAAAGTGGGGGACTGCCTTTTTCAGCAGGAGGAGAAGCTCTTGGCAGACAAAAATACATAATCCCTATATCTGGAGTGATAGCCAGCCATATGCACTATACTGCCAAACCCATCATTAAAACATTGAACTGCTTTCTTACACCTTACACCAAACAGCTGTTGCCCTTAAAACCCCTCCTCTGCCCCACCTTAGGTTCTGCCTTCATAGTTCACCCAGATTAAGTTCTGATTGGTCAGTTTCTATGCCAGTCAGCGACAAAAGCTCTACCTCCTAGGCAGTCATTGGCTCCTCATAGTTCACACAGATTTGGTTCTGATTGGTCAATTTCTATGCCAGTCACCATCTCTGGGTCTATCTCTGGGACTGATCAGAGAGGCTGGGCTGATAAGCAGCCCCCGAGGAGACCTGGAGAGGAGAAGTGCAGTTGCTGGCCAGGCCCAGAGAGAAAGAGAGAGGCAAGGGCTGATCAACAGCTGCTATGGAGGCTATGGATCAGCCCTGCTTCTCTCTCCAGGCCTTTCTCCGGGCTTGATCCGCAGCCTCCTCCACAGTCAGTACTGGGTTGCTGATCCCACAGCAGCAGCAGTCAGTGCACGTTTGCCGACTGCAGGACTGACTTCCAATCAATCAGTCGAGCTTTCAGTCATTACAGACCTTGGGTTTTTATATATTAGGAGAGCTTTATTTATAGTAGCTAAAATCTGGGAAACAACCAAAATATCCAAGAACAGGCGATTGAATAAAAAGTTCTTATATCCTTATTTGGAATACTATTCACCAATAAAACGGAATGAACTACTGCTTGATACAATGTTAATCAATCTGAAAATTATTAATCTGTGAAAGAAACCAGACAAGGTGTTTACTGTATGTTTCTATTTATATAAAATTTTAAAAAATGTAAGGAAAACAGAATAGTATTTGCCTAGGAACAGAGGGAGTGTGAGGAATAAGAGGTAAGGATTGAAAAGGTGTCCAAGAAAACTTTGGGAGGGAACAAGTTCATTTTCTTGATTGTGGTGATCTCTTCAGGGGTGTGTACATGTCAAAATTTAGCAAATGGTACATTTTAATTTAGCTCATGGATTTATTTAACTAGTGTAGTTCATTGTATCTTAATTATATCCCCGTAAAGTTGTTTTTTTAAGAAAGACAATGGTAGTGTTTATCAATAATAACCTGTCCTTTGACCAGTAGACTACATTTAGTACTAATTTCAGTTCGTCTGAAACTAGTGCTATCTAAAGCCCTCACTCCCCATGCTCTGGCCAAAATATATGATTTTTCATCCTATTTTATTTTCTACCATTATCCTATTAATGTCATCTGTCTCCCTGTCTCTTTGTCTCCCTGACTAGGCTATAAGCTCCTAGATGTTAAAATAATCTCTTGTTCATTTCTGTATTTGCATATATAACACACTCAACAAATATTTATTGATAGGTTTCTCATTTTTTTTTTAACAGAAAAAAAATAAAAGTTTTAATATATTTGCATAAGAAATTCACATAAGCATGATAATTCCAAAGTCAGTGAAGTAACACTTATCTATATAAAAGCCTAAGTGGTCATTGCAACTGAACAGATGACCAAACAGGCTACATTGGGCACCAGGCCCGCAGTGGGGGAGTTGGGAGCAACCAGGCTGGTGGGGACAGGTAGTGAAGGGTGACCAGGGTGATGGTGGGGGCAGTTGGGGGCAATTGGGCCAGCAGGGGAGCAGTTAGGTGTCAATCATGCCAGCAGGGGAGTGGTTAGGGGGCAATCAGGCTGGCAGACAGAAGCAGTTAGGGGTACTCAGACAGGCAGGCAGGGGAGTTGTTAGGAGCTAGCAATCCTGGATTATGAGAGGATGCACTAAACTGGCAGTTGGACATCCATTGAGGGGTCCCAGATTGGAGAAGATGCAGGCTGGGCTGAGGGACACCCTCCCCTTGATAGGTTTCTCATATTTTTATCTGCATACAATCATTGTCGTACTGCTCTTTGCTTCCCTCCTGTCAGTTCTTTCATTTATGACTGGTTTACTTCCCTTTCTATTGTGCACTTTGAAACTTTTATTTAATCATAAATAAATTTTGTATATTTTCAACTTCTCAGAATGTCATTTTTGCCTTCAATAAAACTTGTCTGTTCCCTGCCCTGTTTCCTCTATTTACATTGTGGATAATGGCACATTTCACAATCTAATACCTGATGCTTCCTGGCTCCCCGTAACATGGCTCTATCCTCCACTGTAGTAAATTGCCACGCTCCACTGCCACATTCCAGACCTTGTCACAGTCTTACTTCCACTATATCTGTTTTTACACCTTTTTATATCTCTCCCTGTTCTTCATATCAGACCTCTCTCTTGCCTTCTGCTTTTCCTTTCTTGCTAACTCTAAATTTATAAGCACTCAGCTTTTTTTTTTTTTTTTTTTTTTAGTTTATTTTCTGCCTTCCTCCTCACATTATCTTTTGCCTATTAATTATAATCATATATAAACAGTAGGGCTTGCATCTTCCTGGACATATCTGCTTCCTTCAAAGCTTTGTATTTTTGCTTATTCTTCCTCTTATCTCTGAAATAATTAGTTCCCCTAAGTTTTCCTTGCCATCTGCCTCATCAATACCTAAACCTTTTCCTGGAAAGTGGACAGAACATCAACTTCCGGAAACCTTTTCTGACCCTTGTCCCAAGACAGAAATTGACTCCTTTCTCTGAATTCATGCTTCAATCATATTTTGTGTAATACTTTAGATTCTTCTTGTGTATTTGTGTTCCTTTTCTTTAACCATCAAATTTTTTGAATGTTGACAATACTTTATCTCTGATTTTAAGCAAAGGGTGGATATTGGATGAATATAGATGGACAAATGGACATTTGACTAAATGTATAATATTCATCTCATAATTTTTTAAAAGATTAAATTCTTTTAGTTCTCTTTTTTTTAATTTACTTCTTATTGTTTAAAGTATTACATATGTCTCCTTTTTCCCTGTTTGTTCTTGTTGGAAGCCAAGCATTCTGTTAATGCTTTAATATATCTTTTTATCTTATCCTTAATAAAACCCTGAGAGGTATTAAACTCATCTTACAGATAACCTGTTCAAGTTTCTTATCATTTGTAACAATAATAATAAGTGGAGACATATGAATTTTATGCATGAGTCTGATTTTCTCCAAAGCTTCCATTTTTAATATCTATCTTATATCTGCCTCAAATTTAACCTCAATAATAACTATTTCCATTATTTATTAGCCCTCAAAGGATTGAGAGTATCAGTATCACATTTAGAACATTTAAATGAATGTAAATTATAAATAAGTTATAAGATAACAAGTTAATATTAAATTCTGATGTATTAGTGGACAAGAAAATGGTAGGACAGTGTATTTGCATGTGATTGATTGCTCTGAAACTTTATAAAACTCTAACATTATAACAAAAATATGATTATGTTAGGTTTTTAAGACATTAACAATAAAGAGTAAAATAAATCTCAAAAGTGCAGAATAAAATTGCCTCAAATATATTTTTTTCTATTTTATCTTTTAGGATTTTGAATTGTGGGATGATGTAGGATTAAACATTCCAAAGCCTCCAGACTTATTGCAACTCTATCGAGATTTTGGAAATCATCAAGTGTCTGGAAAAGACCTTGTGGATGTTGCCAGTGGAGTAGAAGAAGATGAATTAGAAGCACTTACACCAGTTTTAGGCAACCTTCCTCCACCCCTTGAAACTCCTCAGACTATAGAGGTGAGAGATACTAACTAGTCAAGTCCACAAAAAGTATTTAAACTGTGTAAAAAGCTCACTATGAGATCTTGAGGTTCTTTTTTTTCTCCTGTTTTGATTTTAGAACTCCTTACTAGTACAGAAATTAGAAGATAAAATTAGTTTATTAAATAGTGAGAAATGGTCTTTGATGGAACAAATCAGAAGACTTGAAAGGTTAGTATTTAATCATCATTTCTAAAAAATTCTAACTTTGTTATTAAATAAGATTATATAAATATACAAAATAAAATTTCAGTTGTCAGACATAATTTTTCACATTATAACTAGGGGCCCGGTGCAAAAATTTGTGCACGGGTTGGGTCCAACCAGCCCATTGGGCCTGCCTGGGGGAGGGGCCACAGGCAATTGGCCAGCCAGCCCCATCCCCTGGTCGAACTCCTGGTCAAATTCCTGGTTGAACTCCCAGTTGAGGGGACAGTCTTCATATTAGCCTTTTTTATATAGGATACTTTTGAAAGTCTTATAATTGCTTTGTACATTTAATATGCCCTTTCCCCAAAATAGTTACTAAACCAATGTAGTGACCTTATAATCATCAATTATGTCTTAGAACCAAAAAATAAGATACTTTTTCCTCTTCCCCTGAGTTCTGTCAATATCAATAAAATAACTCCTTCACATTAGTGTTATACACACATCTCTCATTCATTATATCATTTAATTCTTCTATTAATCCTGTGGTTTAGATGGAATAATCCCTATTTTGCAAATGAAGAAACAGCTAAATGTTAATCCAGAGCAGTTTATAGGCCATTTTTATTCTTTGGTAAAAGTTTATAGCTTTCAGGTATATGAAGCATCAGTATATATGCTTCAGAAAAGATTAATCAGTTGCCAAATGAGTTTATGTTATGTTACATTTTAATACATTAAACTCATGAGGTTTATGCTATTGCCAGTGTTTTTGAAAGCACAATTGTTGTCTCATTATTTCTCTTTCTTTCTACAGTGAAATGCACATTCTCAAAAATGAACACTTTGATATCCCAGTAATTTGTGACTCTGTTCAACCTTCTTTGGATCAGTCTCTTCGCAAAGACTCTGAGGACAGTGGACAGAAACCAGTTACAAATAGTTCAGACGAGGGGAAAAACAAGGATATCTATCCTTCTACATTAGATGAAGTTGATTCCACTATTCCTAAAGAGAATTTCCCAAACTCCTTACCGAGGAGAGAAACAGAAGGAACACCATCTTCTTCTTCATCAAGTAAAAACATAGTCCATTTTGATAAACCCAATAGGTTAGTATGCATCCTTTATCTTAAGATGTATCTTTCAGCTAGTTAATACATTGACATACTGGAAAAGCTTCAGTTCTTATTTGAACTGCTTTTGCAGATCAGATGTATTAATTTTTACATTGGCATTAACACAGCAGAGTATATGTCACTAAAAGGGATATCACAAACTAATTACTAAGGTAAAATATATTAAAGAGGCATAAAAGCATAAATAGGATAGATTCTATCCTAGCTAAGTACTTAAACCCATAAATAGTATGTGTGTTACTATGTACTGCAAACACTTTACCCCATGTGTTTTCCCTATTCCTCAATCATTGTCAGACTCAGAAGAGGTTTTGGTACTGCATAGTTGCCTGTCATAAAGAGGAAATACCGTGTTTCCCTGAAAATAAGACATCCTCTGAAAATAAGACCTAGCGCATGGAAAGATAAGACATCCCCTGAAAATAAGACTTAACGCAGCTTTGGGAGAAAAAATTAATATAAGACACTATCTTATTTTCAGGGAAACAGGGTAGTTTTTGCTTCTTGTCCTTTTTCCTGTGTCTGCTTCCATTACTAACAGTGTATTATTAATAGTCTCTTAATTCATTTATTTAATTTTTATTAGGTTGCAGTAATTGAACTCAGATGGCAAAAGCATGATCATGATTTCTAATGAAGAAGACAAAATGTAATTTAAAAATTGTTTAGATTATAATGTGAAAAAAAATTTTAAAGATAGGACTGTTTATTGAACTCTTTTTAAAATATCAGGCACAGTTTTAAATGTTTTGTGTATAGTAATTTATTTAATCCTCACACATAGCTTATGCTGCATTGTGAGCCACAAAGTCGTGCTTCTTTCTCCTATTGAACAGAAGGATATTATACCCAGTATTGGGATATAATAGGAAAGCACAACTTATAGGTAGATAGATACTCTTTGTTCGTGAGAAGTGTTTGGTTGTTGTTTTTTTCTTTTAAATATATTTTTATTGATTTCCGAGAGGAGGGAGAGGGAGAGAGATAGAAACATCAATGATGAGAATCATGGATTGGCTGCCTCCTACACGCCCCCTTCTGGGGATCGAACCCACAACCAGAGCATGTGCCCTGACCAGGAATCAAGTCCTAACCTACCTTCTGGTTCATAGGTCCATGTTTAACCACTGAGCCATGCCAGCCAGGCTGATTGGTTTGTTTTTAGGCAAAGCTTTCCACTTAAGAACCACAACTTTTTGTGTACCAATTAGGTATGTTATTTCTTTAGATGCTATCAAGCTTACAGAGTTAAAATAGTGTGCATTTATTTTAATATGGATAATTTATATAATCATAAAAAATATGTTCTGATACTCAACAATAATGGTGTTCATAGTAGTTCTTCAGTGTTAGTAATATTCTCATATATCTTCTTTAATATTCAAAAGTCACTCTCTGGAGAAAGGTGATTGAGCATGTAAAGTACAAATCATAGTTATAATTTTACAAATACTACTATGTATGAAGACCAGTCTTCTTTTAGAAATATAAATAGGTTAATATTTTCAATTACAAAAAAAAAAAATACTTTAAATTATACCATGAATATTGGATAAGGTTCTTCTTCCCTTACTTTAAATTTTACTTATTTTATTCTCTAACATTACGGTTTATTGTTGTCACCATATAAATCTGCAAAACCTAAATTCCTCTTGGCCACACACAATGAACCTTTGTATCCACTATTTACCCTTCTGGGACCATGGAGAACTGGGGAGAAAAAAGTTCTCATTTTACGGTATTTTCTCCTGTTATACTACCTCAGGTTTTATCCACTAGCATTTACGGGCTGTTCATTCACATACCATCAAACTATTTTAATATCAGCAGTTATTTCTGATTCCCCTTGGCCCCCTAGATAATTCTGCATTGAGGTATCTTTCAAGTTATTGGTGGCTGAGAAGTTCATATTAAATGTCTAGGGTAGGATTAACCCAGAAATGGAGTTATAACATGTTACTTTATCATTAAATACCAGTGGTAACAATGTCTCCTTCTCATTCAATATTTTCTTCTAGGAAGTTGTCTCCTGCTTTCCACCAAGCACTACTCTCTTTTTGTCGAATGTCAGCAGATAGTCGTTTAGGATCAGAGGTAATTTGCACCATATATTCTTTCTTTCTTTAAATATATATTTTTTATTGATTTCAGAGAAGATGGGAGAGGAATAGAGAGATAGAAACATCAATGATGAGAAAGAACCATTGATTGGCTGCCTCTTGCACACACACACACACACACACACACACACTGGGGACCAAGTGCATGTTCCCTTGATAAGAATTGAACCCGGGACCCTTCAGTCCGCAGACCGACGCTCTATCCACTGAGCCAAACTAGCTAAAGCTGCACCATATATTCTTGCAGCTGTCTTAAAACATTTGGATTTTTCTTAGCATCTCATTCAAAAACAGCTGTGATAAGACTATTTCAAATGCAAATCTATTATTTAAATAATGCTATAAGAAATAGTTTCTAAAATATTTGACTTTTAAAGAAGGTAGTTGAGCCGAAACCAGTTTGGTTCAGTGGATAGAGCGTCGTCCTGCGTACTGAAAGGTCCCAGGTTCAATTCTGGTCAAGGGCATGTACCTTGGTTGCCGGCACATCCCCAGTGTGTGTGTGCAGGAGGCAGTTGATCGATGTTTCTAACTCTATCCCTCTCCCTTCCTCTCTGTAAAAAATCAATAAAATATATTTTAAAAATAAATAAATAAATAAAGAAGGTAGTTGACTATTTCTATTTTTTGGATTAAAGCTTTGTTTAGTGTTAAAGTGATTTTTTGAAATCTATTTTGAATTTGTTGTGTCTAATATATGCTTATGTGCCTCTCTGGTGTAATTCAAAAAACCAATGTAACTGTACATATTGTTTATATTTCAATTATTTTTAGATTACTCCATTATTTTTATTTCATTAATGATTGTCTTGACTGAGTTTGTTAACTTTCAGATTAGTTTTCCTCAGGTTCTTTGTAATAGTTATTGTAGACTCATCTGGAGAGAGTATTTTCTTCTCCTATCTTTATATTTCCCCCTCCCTTTCAGCTGTTTTATGGTTGATTCCACTTGACTTCTCCTAGGCTTCTGTCCCACAGTGTCATTGAGAATACAAAAGAGGGTGGGTTGGATTCGATTCTAGCAATCCTTATTGTAAGACTGGGTTAGCTTCCTTGGGCCTCCCCTTGCATGCAGCTTCATTATACAAACTGTCTCCTTAGGCAAAGATGATAGCTTTGTAGCATCTTTTCAAGAACAAAAGAAGCTGCCCCAGTCCTTTATTATCCCTGCTTGTTCTTAGAACTGAAGCATCTTTGTCTTCATCCCTGCTTCTTACTGCTTTTTGACCCGTTCATGTTTATCTTGTTTGGGAACACAGTTGTTATTATTTACCATCATCATAAGTTATCATTTTGGATGTGTGTTTGGAGCAGAGGTGGCAAAGTTTAAAGCATGAACTTCAAGTGCCAGCATGCAAAGAAGTTCTCCACTGTCATCATTTATCAGTTCTTTTGCTTTTCTAGGTGTCTCGGATTGCTGACAGTGAGCGAAGCGTCATGTTAATGCTGGGCCGCTGCCTGCCGCACATTGTTCCTAACGTGCTATTAGCCAAGAGAGAGGTGAGACATATAAACACTTCCTCCTAGTAGTCTCATCGTATTGTCCATTCTTTGTCATTTTGATGTTTAGCGTTATGTTTTTATTTTGTTAAAGTCTATTACTTGCAATCATATTCTTACTTTTGTGCATGCATCTCTGCTCCTAGAGAATGGTTTTACACCTCTGTCAGGTGAGTTCAGTAAAACTGCATGGTATTCATGTTGTTTCAATTTTGCTTAAAGCATCATTAGCTTCTGCAACACTAACTATTACTGTAGGTCCATTTATGTGCTGTGAAAGCTGTTCATTTTTTATATTACCAGTTAACTAATATATCTGTGCTATTGATATGATTGCTTGGTATGTTTACAAAAATAGACACTCAGTACTGAAAATTAACAGAGACTGAAAATGTATCTCTTTTTTTAAATGTACTTATAGTAACCCATTTATTGTCTTTGTTTGGTAATAACCACACTTGTCTTGCGATGATATAGGATAGTTATAATAATGTGTTTTTCTTATAGCTAACCTGTTATTGACAAATGCTTTAAATATCCAAAATACAGTAGGAAATATATTTTAGTATGCATAGGCTATGCTATGAGCCATAAGTACTGTAGAAAGTTATCTTTACAGTTATATTTAGCCATGAAAAGCTATTTATAACCTCATTTAAATGACAGTAAATGATTTATTTGCAAACAAATTTATTTATTTGAATTAATAAATTTATTAAATCAATGTCCAGTTTCTAAAATACTTAATTAAAAAAGGGTTAGGAAATATTTTAGAATGTACAATATAAGTTTCTTATTAATTTAAATCATAATTCATGGGACCTACAGTATGATAGATACACAATGCATTGGCAAAACCCATATAGAGCTTATCCTTATCTGTTCAGCACAAGAAATTTATACTGATCCTCAAGAAAAGTTATCTGTAGAGCTTTAAAATTTTTTTTATTTTTATAGGTATTTTTCATTTAAAAAAGATAAATGGCTTTTCTTGCTGATGGTTTTATTTTACCTATAGTCATGAGATATTAATAAGCATGGAAGATTTTCTATGTCTTGAAGGATCAGTGTCCAATTTCAGATTGATTTGCAGTTCTGCCTGTCAAAATGCTGTTTGAGCTTTTCCTTTTTCAGCTTGTAATATAATCCATGCAATGCATTAATGTTTGCATCCTTTTTCTGTGTTTTTTTTAATGTAATCTTTAAAATATCACAGAAACCTAATTGTTATGAGATGCAGTATAAGCTTTTTATTTTAATATTTTTCTTTTTTATCATAAAAATACTTTATCCCTAAAACCTGATTGTACTGCATGAAGTATTTATGAACTTGCATCATCAGTAATCAGATATATATAAAAATATATAAAATATATGTGCACTTACACATGTACAAACATTTTATTTGTGGTATAATGTTTACTTTTATGATTGATTTTGAGTTTTCTGTATTTAAAAAACATGTACTTATAATTTCATGACAAATTGATCATTTATCTTTGTTATTGAATTATTTGTACCTCATTCTATTGTATCAGAAAATTTACCATTTATAGTATACTAAAGTTTTAGTCTCTCAAAATTAAATTGGTAAATAATGAAGCATGATTTGATTTGCTTTGAAGCCAATGCCACGGCATCAAAGGACAAAAATTTTATTTCACTTTATCCTTTGATATTGGATTGCTTTTATTTAATCTTTTACTTTAGTTCTTTAAATCTATATTTTCAAAAAGGTTTTGTGATTGATAGATTAAAATTTTGATTTCTAAAATTTTCTCAAGATTTATATTTTCTTATCAGTATAAGCCTTTTTATTGGTATGTAAATTCAAATAAAATATTCTTTAGTAAACTGATTGTCATAGTAATATCCTAGCTAATTAAACCTGTTTTAAGTTTTGATTAAGTTATATGTTTACATGGTTTAACATTATTTAAATATAATAAAGATATACAACAAAAACTTTTCTTCTATCCCTGTGACACCATCCTACATGCAATAAATTTTATGAATTTCTGATATATTCTTACCAGTTTTTTGCCCATTTTTAAAATTGGATTGTCTTTGTTTTGGAGTTGTAAGATTTTTTTTACAATTTTTTGATATTAAGTCCATATCACATATATGATTTGCAAATAGTTTCTGCCATCCTATAGGATGTCTTTCACATTCTTTTTTGGTATCAAGTCTAAGAATTTGTTGCCATATCTGTAGTTAAGAATATTTACCTGATTTTATGTTTTCTTCTCATAGTTTTATAGCTTTAGCTCTCATATTTAGATCATTGATCCATTTTGAGTTTTTTTTTTTTTTTTGTAAATGAATAAGGCAGATGGTTCAACTTTATTCTTTTCTTATATTATTCAGTTATCCCAACATCATTCATTGAAGAGAAAATTGTTTCCCTATTTAATGGTCATGTCACCTTTGACAGAAGTCAGTTGGCTGTACATCTTTGCATTTATTTTTGGACTGTTCTGTACCATTGGTCTTTAAGTTTATTCTTATGCCTATATTACATTTTTATTTACCATTAGAGGCCCAATGCATGAAATTCATGCACAGGGAAGGTCCCTAGTGGCTGCTGGCCACCTGCCAGGGTTTCCCTTCATTCTGCGCTGCACCCTGTTGGTCAGTGTATGTCACAGCAAGCAGTCGAACTCCCACTGGGTCAAACTCCGAGGAAACACTTTACATATTAGGCTTTTCTATAGATAGATAGATAGATAGATAGATAGATAGATAGATAGATAGTTTTGTGGTAAGTTGTGAAATTGGGAGGTTTGAGTCCTCCAACTTCGTTTTCTTTTTCAATATTGTTAAGTAATTTAAGGCCCCTTGCAGTTCCACCTGAATTTGATACTCGGCTTTTATTTCTGCAGTAATGGTCACTGGAATTTCTATGTGGATTATACTAAATCTGTAGACCACTTTGGGAGTATGGCCATTCTAACAACATTAAGTGAACATGGTATTTTTTCCCCGCTTTTTTATGTCTTTAATTACTTTTTGCAACATTTTGTAGTTTTCAGTGCATAAGTTTTTTATATATATATTTTATTGATTTCAGAGAGAAAGAGAGAGGGAGAGAGGAATAGAAACATCGATGATAAGAGAGAATCATGGATCAGCTGCCTCCGGCACAACCCCTACTGGGGATGGAGCCCACAACATTGGCATGTGCCCTGATTGGGAATTGAACTGTGACCTCCTTCAGAGGCCAATGCTCAGCCACACTGGCCGAGCATCAGCACACAAGATTTTCATTTAGTAAAATTCAATTCTAGGTATTTTATTCTTTTTCATGCTATTATAAATGGAATTGTTTTCTTAACTTCCTTTTCACCTTGCTTATTGCTGATATATAGAAACAAAATTGATAATCATGTTGACTTGCAACTTTAATGAATTTATTAACTATAGTAGGTTTTTTGGGGGGGAGTCTGAGATTTTCCATATATAGAATCATGTTATCTGCAAATAGAGATAGTTGTACTTTCTCTTTTCCGAAAACTCTTGCTTAATTGGTGTGGACTTCCAATTCAATGTTAAATAGCAGTGTTTTGAGAAAGCCAATAGTTATAAAATAGATAAGATTGGTTCATCTTACCTGTCTTGTGTGTGTATGTGTGTGTGTGAATTTTAGAAGTAAATCACATGCTTTTTAAGCAGTATCAGCTTTAAAATCATCTAAGTATTTCACTTAGGCCTTCTAATGGTTGAGTCCTAGGAATTCTAGATATTAATTATTCTAAGTATAGCTATTTTAGCAGCCATTAAAGTGTAGAACTTTTCCAGAGGTGAGTCTTTTCTGTGTTCTTTATTTTTTCTGTACACAAACAATCTGACAAGTCTCAACTGAAAATCTAAATCAGTGTTATGGGGTAACCCGCAAGAGACGACCACCAGAGACAGAGAAAAAAAAATTATGAGCCTTTAATAAACTGGCCAGTGACTGCAGTTGCAGCACTCTACTGCGGTAAAGGCCGAACTGCAGTGCAGACCATAGGTGTTATAGCAAACATACTCGGAAACAACCAGAGGGAGTTAGGACAGTTACAATGACAACCCAAAGGTTACAAAAGCTATTTTAGCCGTTTCCAAGGAACTCAGGGCACAGGTGAAACGCCTGGGCACGCTTTGCCGGAGCATGACCCACTACCTGCCTCCAAACTAACCGACCCATTGCTCGGTGACCTACTCTACCTCCCTCTGTCCTAAGGCATCTGCCTCCAGGCAGTGGAGGAGCTGTGCAATGTTTGCAGCCCAGAACATCAGTATTTGATTTTAAATTATAATTTATTATTGCTTAATTCTTAGCCAAAGAATATATGGAAATTTTTAAAATAACAGCTATCTAAAAATTGTAACTGAAGCTTGAGTTGTAGGAAATAATTTTAGTAGAACAGTGAACCATAATTCATTGGATTATTGTATTCCTCTTCTAGAACTGTGGTATGTTGCTTCTTGACTGTAATACTCAAAATGTTTCTCCTTGGCATCATAGCTAAATATAGTATTTCCTTTTATGTTTTATTCCTTTCAGACCTTGGAGTCTTTATCTTATTAACATTTCCTTGTGTGTGTGGTTTTTTTTTTTTTAATATTACATTTTGCTTCATCTCATTTTCTACTTTATTTCTCCCTCAGCATCTGATTACATTGTTGTAGTTCCTTGGAGATTCTTTGTTTTCTTCTGACTCTATAGTCTGAACATGCATTAATCTTTATAACACTAAGAAAGCTGAGTAAAAATATGCATGAAATCAAATCTAATGACATTTACTATCTCTAAAACTATTTATTATCATTAGAAGTTAATTTGTTTTACTTGTGAAACCGAAAGAAGAATTAAAATGTTTGAAGCCCTTTGTACTTAATCTGTAAGGTGTAGAAGATTATTCATAGAGAACTAGCTTTGTCATTAAAATTGTAAAACTCAAAATAGTTAAAGCAGAAGTAATTTCCTTGAGTAAAGTACAAATTACAAAACTTTTTAGATTAATGAATTTTAAAAGTCTTAGAATTATCTTTTCTAAATGGTGGTAAAGTGTTATAATTTCTTCTACAATATGATTACTACACTGATTTCCTCTCTAATAATCAGTCAGGGATTAATTTTATTTTTCACTTTAGTACACTTTTATTGAGTAATATCAAGTGCTAACGCATGTTTTAAAATATTTAAGATTCCTGTTGCCTTGAAATAATGGACACAGCAAGTTTTTGTGTCAAGGGAAAATACCAAAGACAGGGGTTTTTGTTTTTGTTTTTACTATGGCTTTTATTAACATGTACCCTTAAATCAAATATGTTTAAGGATCTTTTCATGTGAAAAATTCACACCCTTTATATATAATATCTAACATTGCTGTATTCTCAATACATTTCTTTTATAGTTAATCATTTAGATGTTTTTTAAACCACTATCACCTTTTCTCATGAAGGAAATTCATCTATCACTTTTTAAATCTTTTATTCATAATTATAAGGAAATTTTTTTTTAAAACCACTACACTTCTTCAATTGGAGAGGTAATACCAAAGGGAGAATATTGATTCAAATGTATAAATTTATGAATAGTGTGAAAGTGAAAAATACAAATGCTTGAAAAAGATGAATTCACAATCAGTAAATATGAGACTATACTTCACAGAAGATACGTACTTACAGATTATTTCAGGAGTGATACAAATAGAAGTTGTAAATAAATAAATGAATGATAGAGAAATTAGGATAACTGAAACCAGTCATAACTTAGTAATTAAACTCTCAGATGGCTGGATCAGAGACAGACCTCTCTTCACTTTTTTTCTACCTTCACTTACTGGTCCTCTTGTCAGCTCTGTGTTCCTTTAGAGAAGGAGACAATCTGACATTATTTATACACTGATGTAAAACTGCCCTACCCATTAATGTGCCACTTAGCACATTAACGTACCCAATTCTTCCTGGCATAGAATAATAACCAAAAGTTATTGACAGTGACTTCCCAATATGTTGTTAATTTTGCCAGCAAGAAATAAAAAGGGAGCATCAGCCTGCAGATTGAAGATTCCCTGGTTCAATTCTGGTCAACAGTACATGCTAGGTTGTGGGCTTGATCGCCACTGGGGGGCGTGCAGGAGGCAGCCAATCAATGATTCTCATCATAGATGTTACTCTCTCTCTCCCCTTCCCTTCCTCTGTGAAGTAAATAAAAAATATATATATTTTTTTAAGAAAGGAATGAACTCTGTTTTACATACTCACAGCTGTAAACCTACTTTTCCCTACTCTATATGTAGAAATAATAGGAAAGTAGGAATAAGAGTTAAGAAGAAGCAAGAAAACCCTCAGGACAGACAAATCAGATGAGAGAAAGGACAAATAAAATTTTTTAGGGGCTTGCTTGATTTTTAGGTGTTAAAATATTTTATCCTTTTGTTAGTACTTTCTAGAATAACTACTTTTTCATCCTTAAGTGTCTACTCTCAGTGGGATATGCTGATGATACAATGTCTTAGTTCTCTCATTAGTATCATTGGCTATTAGCAGCCTAAATAGAATACTCTAAAGATTAGCATAGCTTTGTGAATTAGTGGTCTCCTATCCTAATATTTTATAAAAGGTTGTTTCTTTTCTCATTCAAAATCATGGCTACTCCATCAAGCATCATATTAAACCTCTGATGAAAACATTACTTCACACTGTAGGATCCATATATATCCTCTTCCATTCTCAATGCAAAATTATTTTTTTCTTTTTTTTTTCTTTTTTTAAAATATATTTTATTGATTTTTTACAGAGAGGAAGGGAGAGAGATAGAGAGCTAGAAACGTCGATGAGAGAGAAACATCAACCAGCTGCCTCTTGCACACTCCCTACCGGGGATGTGCCCGCAACCAAGGTACATGCCCTTGACCGGAATCGAACCTGGGACCTTTCAGTCTGCAGACTGATGCTCTACCACTGAGCCAAACCGTTTTCGGCCAAAATTATTTTTTTAAATTATTTATTTGGCTTTTCAATTACTCACTAATCTAAAACATGCATGATAAACATACATGCATGATAAATACATGCATGACAGAATAAATTCTTTAACTTCTTAGATTGATTCTTAGCTTTTCTTATCTATATCTTTGTACCTTCAATTTAAAATTTATACCAAGTAATTATAATTTTTAAATCCTATATAATAAAACCCTAATATGCAAATCAACTGAATGGTGGAATGACGAATCACTATGATGCGCACTGACCACCAGGGGGCAGATGCTCAACACCGCCCTGTGGTTGTCAGTGCACTCCCACAGGGGGAGCACTGCTAAGCCAGAAGCCGGGTTCACAGCTGACGAGTACAGCAGTGGTGGCAGGAACCTCTCCTGCACCTCTCCGTGGCAGTACTAAGGACCCTTCAGGGGTCCCGGACTGTAATAGGGCACAGGCCAGGCTGAGGGACCTCCCCCTACCCCAGGGTACAAATGACATGCACCAGGCCTCTAGTCTATAATAATAAAAGCATAATATGTAATCAACTGAATGACCGAACATTAGAATGACAATCCAGACAACCTTCCAGATGACCATACTATGACACCCACTGGTGCCAGGCCAGCCAAGGCAGGTATGATGTGATTGGTTGGGGGTCTGGCCATCGCCCCATGAGCACCTTGCTGAGGAAGGCCCAGGTCACCGGCCGGCAGGGCAATCAATTGGGGCACTCCACAATCGCCCCAAAGAGAGAGGCCCAGGCCACCAAACAGCGGGCTACGGCAGGCGGATGGGGCCTCCCTCTGTGGGGTGCGATTGATCACCCCAAAGAGGGAGGCCCATGCTATCCCATGGTGGTGCTGTGCCGGGTTGTCAGGGCTTAACTCTTTGGGGCAATTGATCATGAGGTTTCCAGACTGTGAGAAGATGCAGGCCGGGCTGAGGGACCCTCTCCCCTTCCACCCCCCAGTGCACAAATGTTATATACCAGGCCTCTAGTAATATATAAAAAGACTTTAGAAACAATGAAAAAGGACTTCATAACTTTAAGTTTCAGTCTACATCAAAAAAAAAATTTTTTCCCCCCATTGATTTCAGAGAGGAAGGGAGAGGCAGAAATAGAAACATCAGTGATGAGAGAGAATCGTTGATGGCTGCTTCCTGCATGCCCCGCACTGGGAATTGAGCGCACAATTCGGGCATATGCCCTGACCAGGGATCAAACTGTGACCTCCTGGTTCATAGTTCAATGCTCAACCACTGGCCACACTGGTTGGGCCATATCATCTGTTTCTAAAGGAGCATCTCCAAAATGGGAAGATCCTTCTCCTAAAGTGTAAACTTTTCTCAAGGGTATCATGCATTATTACATAGTGATAAATTCCTATTTTAAATCTGCTAATATTCTGGTGGGAAGGGAGGCATATGGGAAAGAGAAGTGGGAGTAGTAATCATTATATCATATTGATTTCTTAACAAATTTGTAAAATATAGTTTTTATAACTTAGAGGTTTTCTCTTCAAAATATTTTATCACTTTTTGGCTTTTATTCTCATTATATTTGAAAATTCCTTCCAAAATGAGAAACAATATCTTTTGAATACAAATTAGAAGTTTATTTTAATTAAAATATGAAACAACTTTAATTTTTCAAATATTTACTTGGAGAGGAGAAACCTTTGTATATTACTTAGCTACAAAATATTGAATTTACCTCTGCATATTTCATGTGCTACAAAAAAATTATTTAAAATTTTTATTTTAACATAAAACATTTCTACTAATACTCTCTATAGTAGTATTGAGAGTATTCAATAACTGTGGAAATGATCTTTTTCTTTTCAATTAGCTACCAGTTTGGTGCTACGGATACAAAATGATGAGTTATATCTTATATCAAGATATTATATTATACTTGTGTAAGTGGGAAGAGTTGTTTTTATTTTCTGTTATCTTTTTAAGTTTTAAAATATAGTTAACTTTTGCAAGTTTTGTTTAAAAATACTTTCAAATTTAAAATGACTATCAGATTGTAGTAAGATGGAATGTTATCTAGTAGTAGACCTTTGGGAAGAGTACAGGATAAGAAAACAAGGTTAGTTGAATCTTGAGAAACTTAATTACATTGTGATCAGCACCTTCTGCACAACCAACACATGTTTCATTGTTTTCTGTTGAATATTAACCTTACAAAATTGAAATTTTCTCTTTTGTATATTGATGTTTAGTCCACTTTAAATTTCCATTTAAGAATACTCTGGAGAAAAGAAAGAATATTCTGCACTGCATTTTCACTTTGACTTTTTGCATCTTCATGTTCTTTAGGAGTTGATCCCCCTCATACTGTGTACAGCATGCCTGCATCCTGAGCCTAAAGAGAGAGATCAGCTTCTCCACATACTTTTCAATTTGATCAAGAGGCCAGATGATGAGCAAAGGTCGGTATGACAACTTGTTTTGGATATAAATAAGATGTTGACATATTAATTTGGTATCAAAATTTGCCTTTTAATCTAAATGTCTTTTTTTCTATTTTAAAAAATGGAGGAAACACTGACTCTATTCACAATGCTTTTCAGAGTTTTCACTCTTGTTATTCCAATTACTCATATTGAATTTGTACACTTTTGTGTTACTTACCTTGGACTTCTACTTCAAATGTTTATTTGCCTTTATCTTTCACATCTGAATTCTAAGAATGCCTAAATATTCACTCCATGCCTCTTGGTTAAAGTGATAACAGTGTTTTGTTTTGGTTTTGTTAGTCATGAGTCAGATGCCCTCAAGCAGGAATGTAGCAGAGAAATAAGTTATACTTGAATGTGGTGAGGGGCAGAGACACACATCAAGATGACTTTTCAGAAGAAAGGGGAATGGGATTTGATCAAGTAACCAGGATAGATATCTACCTCAGAGATTAAAACCTTTAAGTACTAAGTGTGAATGTGAACAGAACATCCTAATGAGGGAGTAACTAAGCTAAGCACCAGTTGGATAAAATTTGGCAATTCAAGTATTTTTCTATTTTATACTTTCCTACTTTAATTTTGAAAGGATTTTGCTCATACTTTAATCCTCACCAGAGTATATGTTTATTGATTTTCAAGAGAAGAAGGGACAGAGACAGATATTGATGTGAGAGGGAAACATTGCTCAGTTGCCTCTGGTTTGTACCCTAATCAGGGTCTGAACCCACAACCTAGTTAGTAACCTGGACAGAATCAAAGGTGACCTTTTGGTGGACAGGATGATGTTCCAAACAACTGAGTAACACTGGCCAGGGTTCTATAAGTATGTATCTCTTTTCCATTCTTTCCAAAATATGTATGAACAAGTAGAAAAACATATCCTTTGTATAATCCAGCCGGGATTAATCTATCTAGCATTCCTCATATGCTAGTCAAATAGAAATAAAGGAAATTAAATCACTGTGTCTGTATCATTCACTGCAAACTGAAAATTTTCTAAGGACAATTTGATGGTGCTGTATGGGCAAATTAATATTATATTTTCTCCTTGAAAAATATTACTTCCTATCTTGGTAACTTAGTAATTAAATATAATTTATTACATTGTCATTTTTAGATTTGTAAGGGCAAAGCCTCTAGATCTATAGTCCATTTTCATACTCTGCATATAAAGCTACGGTAATAGCTGCCACCTGGTGGCCAAAAGTACCTTGGTTGAGATATGTTAGGAATTAGGCACCAATGTCCACATTTTAATCTTTCACCTTACAGAAAAACAATTATTTATGAAAATAGTCTAATTAACTACATATAATGCAAATAAGAAAGTTAAAAAGCAACATTTTTAAGTTAGCATAATATATTTGACAGTTTTCCCTTACTTAACAAATCTCAGGTATCTTTGATCAGATCCTAAGAAAAACTTAATTTTATACTTAATAATGGTTCTTTGGGCCAATTTTTAAAAATATATTTTATTGATTTTTACAAAGAGGAAGAGAGAGGGATAGAGAGTTAGAAATATCGATGAGAGAGAATCATCGATCAGCTGCCTCTCGCACACCCCCTACTGGGGATGTGCCTGCAACCAAGGTACATGCCCTTGACCAGAATCAAACCTGGGACTTTTCAGTCCGCAGACCGACGCTCTATCCACTGAGCCAAACCGGTTTCGGCTGGGCCAGTTCTTTATAGCAACCATAATTAACACCACATTTTTAGCTTTGTCAAAAACTAGGCAAACAATCTCTGTCCTATGATTTCCACAAGTAGGAACAGCATTTATTTTTGCCATCACAGGAGACTGTTTCTAATGCTGTTAATAATTTGTAAGCCATCTGACCTTTTATTCTCAGCTATATTTCAAAACTATATTAACTTTTAGAATTCTGAATTTTCACTGTGCTAAGAAGTTTATTTTTAGGGTCTTAACATTTTTTCAACAAGTTTGTCCATCTCTAATATAATGATGGTGACTCAGGATTTAAAGTCATGTATACTTCTTACAAGTGTTGGAAATGCTTACATTTCACCAAAGATTATTTATTATAATTATCAAACAATTATGGATCCTATGTGTATTCTTCCTCATTATTTTAAGACACTTAATGGGGAGAAAAAACAATTATCAGGTATTAGGAAATTTTCATTGGGGAGCAGGCAGCTCAAGTACTGTGTGTAAAGCCTGGTAATTTCTTTTTCCATTTTCCTTTTGTTCATTTTATTTGCCTTTCTAAACTAGAAGGAAATAAAAAGCAAAGTTGAGAAATAGGCATAGAAGACAATGTATATATAAGAAGTTAATATGTTAAGTATTAACTTGTTATACTTAACATTATATATATATAACAAGTTAATATGTTAAGTATCCCTCCAACCATCCAACTAGTCACTATGATACACACTGACCTCCAGGGGCCAGACAATACAGGAGCTACCATGATGCACACAGGCTATTTACAAAGAAATGGCACCGTAAACTTGGCGCCCACAAAGCAACACTTGGCTTCTCCAAGTGGGACACAGGCCCTGCCACCATCCTATCTTGGGGCAACAGCCCACCAAATCATAGCCGACGGAGACCCCATGGTGCAAAATGAGGCCCACAGCCCAGCCCAGACCGGAAACTGGCTGTGGGCACTGGGTAATGACATCATGTAGCATTGCCCAGCTCCCTCTCCCTAGCAACAGGCCATTTAATAATAAATGGCACTACAGACCTGGTGCCCACTAACCAACACTCAGCTTCTCCCAAGTGGAACACGGTCCCCGCCACTGCCTCAGAGCGACACCTCACCAAATTGCAACCAATACTGCCAAGAGTCCCTGAGGAGTCCTCAAAATGCGGACCACAGTCCAGCCCAGAAATACGGTAGTCATTGTGGGTGCTGGGTAATGATGTCACATAGCAATGCCTAACTTCCTCACCCTTGGAGTTTCTTCAGCCTAGGAACATAATTTGCTTTTAACCAGGTGCAAATATTTTACTCTTGAACCAACTTTTGTGAAGCATTTTCCCGTGCCTCATCTCATTTGATCCTCACAGAAGTCCTGGAGTAGGTAGATAGGATACTCAGTAGAATCCTATTTTCATTAGCCAGAAAATGGAGATTTACAAAGTTTAGAAATTTGGCCCAACTGAAAAGAAGTAAGAAATTTCTGTGCAGTGAGAAAACCTGAAAAGGACTTCAGATTTTCTTACTGCACAGAATATAGTCAAACACTGGTGCAGTTAAATATTTTGCCTTTTGTTCTCCCCGCAAGATCTACGATAATAATCTATTCGTGTTGATATTTTTTGCTGTATTTTTGACAATTACCTGAAAGAGAAGTTGGGGTGCTTCACTGGGCTGGAAAAAGTTTAGTCAAATCAGAAAGCAGGTCTTAATTAAGGAAGTTTATTCTATAACTATAAAAGGCTAAGTTGAGTCACACATGTGTGATGCATATAAAGCCAATCACACACATGTATTTCATCTATCATTGTTGATCGTGAATTTGGTTGACAATTCTATTAGAGAGAAAGGATGAATGTGGATATTAAAATATTTTTTCTAATTAATTTCCTTCAATGTGCATGAATCCATGCACTGGGCCACTGTATAAATATAAGTGGGAATGAGGTTATTATAAAGTTGTGGTGAGAAAAAGCTGTACTATATAATGAAGATATACTGGCTCAACAGTTCTCTCATTTTATCCAGATGTTCTTTGTCATTAATTTCCTCAACAGTGGAATTATAGCTATTTTTGCTAAACTAAATAGAAATTTAAAATCATTCTCCTGTGTTAAATTGATGTTTTTGAGAAACAGCAGTGACCAATGTTTGGGCTCAATGTGCTGATTTTAAAGTTAATATGAATTAAACATTCTATTTTGGTTTTCCGAAAAGTTGGATACTTTAAACATCTATTTAAATCCTACTTTTTTCCCCCCATCAGTTTTTACGTTTTTGGTGTCTTAGATAATCAAAAGTGAAAAACTGCCAATTCTTCACTTAAAGTTATTTTAAAATGGAACTTCATTCTAAAGAGAAAAATCTTATTTAAAGTTTTATACTCTTTAAGTTCAAGTTATTTATATATTTTTCTGTAAAAAGATTACCCCAAAAGAAAGTAGTTTCAAATAAACTCATTTTTATAATATAACTTTCCAGGTCAGTTAATTTGGGTTCTCTGCTTCAGGGTCTCTTATAAAGCTGAAATCAAGGTATTGGCTGGAGATATAGTCATCTCAAGTCTTAGCTGGGGAAGTATTTGCTTTTTTAAAAAAATATATTTTATTGATTTTTTTACAGAGAGGAAGAGAGAGGGATAGAGAATTAGAAATATCAATGAGAGAGAATCATCGATCAGCTGCCTCTCGCACACCCCCTACTGGGGATGTACCTGCAATCAAGGTACATGCCCTTAACTGGAATCGAACCTGGGACCTTTCAGTCTGCAGGTCGATGCTCTATCCACTGAGCCAAACCGATTTCGGCAGGATTTGCTTCTAAGCTCACTCACATGATTGGCTGTTGGCAGGATTCAGTTTCTCATGGATTTTTGGACTGAGAGTCTCAGTTCCTCACTGGTTTTTGGTGAAAGGCTGCCTTCAATTCCTTGCCACAAAGGCCTCCAAAAGGCAGCATACTTCACCAAAGCATGCCAGTAAAAAAGCAACTAAGACACACACCAGATGGACACCATAGACTTTTGTAACCTAATCTCAGGAATCATATCCATCACTTTGGCCATTATTCTTTCTATTAAAAGCAAATTCTTAAGTACAGTCTGCAACTCAAGGAAATTGGGATTACACAAAGATGTGGATGTCAGGAGATGGACATCATCAGGAGCCATGTTAGAAGCTATCTTCCAGTTATCTTTGGTATAGTACCAAAAATTCTGATTAGATAAGTACCATTTTACTAATATGAATCCATAGTTTTTATCATAGAAATACTGGGGGGACAATCACTGATAGTTTTAGTGGCTAAAAACTGAAGTTCAGTAGGAGCTGAAGCATTGAACATACTAGAACACTCACAGAATGTATATACAGAAAGTTAATTTAGGAGGTTATGAGTTTCAGCTTCACACCAATAAAGAGCCCTTCACAACATGTCTCACAGATGGTGTGGCCACTGGTAGGGGCACGCATCTTAAGGAACTCATTCTTGATGGAGTCTAGTCCATTGTTGGAAATGTCTATTTTGATTATACAAAATATTGTACTTCATGTGATTTACAGAGCTGACTCGTTAGTCCTAGTTGTACTTTCTAAAGAAAAAATGTTTTTATTTGTTTGTGTTATTTTCAGGCAAATGATACTGACGGGTTGTGTGGCATTTGCACGTCATGTTGGACCAACGCGTGTAGAAGCTGAACTTTTACCACAGTGTTGGGAACAGGTAAATCTATTGGGTTTGCCCTAGGAGATTTGGCTTAGTGGCTAGGGCATCAGCCTGCTGCCTAAAAGGTCTCAGGTTTGATTCCGGTCAAGGGCACATGCCCTGGTAGTGGGCTTGATCCTTAGTAGGGGGCATGCAGGAGGCAGCCAATCAATGGTTCTCTCTCAACATTGATGTTTCTATCTCTCCCTCACCAAAATCAATGAAAATATATTTTAAAATAATAATAGTACCTATTGGGTTTTTCTCTAGCTATTCTAGTTTATCATAAATGTTCATATCTTCTTTTTTAAATGTCATTAGGAAATACATGGGATATGAATTGTGCTACTTGTATAACCCAGCACTGTGATTTAATAGTGCTTAAGAATGCTCTGGGATGCTTTGCAGTATTCATTCTCCCACCAAATAATTAAGAAACACTAGTTCCAGGGCCAGGTACTGTTGTAGTGCTTTTGGATACAATGGGGAAATAAACACAAAGACATTGTTGTGGTAAAGATAAGGCTAAACAAATCAATGGTATAGTATTTTATAGTGTTAGTAGAGGCCCGGTGCATGAAAATTCATGCACTGGAAGGGGAGAGGATCCCTCAGCCTGGCCTGTCCCGTCTCACAGGCAGCCTGGCCTGCCTCCTCTCAGGAGTGGAAAGCGACTCAGTGATCAGGGTAAAGCGACGCACCCATCACACCTCTTCTGTTGCAGTGCAAGCCTCAGTTACCTGAGCCTTGGACAGCCCTAGGTGGCTGGGGGCTGAGAGGACTGGGGGACTCCAGAGGCAGGCATGTGCCTGCCGCCATGGTAGGGCTGAGGGGACTGGGCGCTGCCATCTTGTGGCAGTGGGTGCCGCCACCTTTGAAAGCTTGGCAGCCAATTAGCTTATTCCCTCCTTATTGACTGTGAGCTCCGCCATCTTTGTGAGGGTGTGAGAGTCAATTAGCATATTGCGTCTTTATTAGATAGAATAAGCTATCCTATATAATAAAAGGCTAATATACAAATCAACCAAACAGTGAGATGGCCAGTCACTATGATTCGCACTGACCACCAGGGGGCAGACGCTCAACACAGGAACTGCCCTCCTGGTGGTCCGTGTGCTCCCAAAGGGGGAGTGCTGCTCAGCGAGAAGCTGGGCTCATGGCTGATGAGTGGTCAGTGTGCTCCCACAGGGTCACTGCTGCTTAGCCAGAAGCTGGACTCATGACTGGTGAGTGCAGTGGTGGTGGCGGGAGCCTCTTCTGCCTCGGCAATTTTTCACTTTTTAAGTTTTCACTTTTTAAGTTTAAGTTTTTAAGTACAATTCATATGCTGTATAATTTACCCATTCTACATGTACAATTCAGTGGATTTTAGTATATTCACAGAATTATACAACTACCAACACAATAAATCTTATAACAATTTTATCACCTCAAATAACAAAACTTAGTTCTCATAGTTTAAGATTATTTTGGCTAATCTGGGTCCCTTGAATTGTCATATGAATTTTAGGATCAGCTTGTCAATTTCTGCAAAGAAGCCAGCTGGAATTTTCATAAGGATTACATTAAATCTGTAGATCAATTTGGAGATTATTGCCATCCTAACAATAATAAGCTTTCCAATCCATGAATTTAAGTTGTATTATTTATTTAAGTCTTTAAATTTTTTTCAACAATGCTTTGTAGTTTTCAGAATATTATTTATGTACTTTTTTGTTTAAGTTATTCCTAAATATTTTCTTTTTGATATTATTATAAATAGAATTTTTAAAATTTTTATTTTCTGTTCGTTCATTGCTAATACTTTTTATTTTTATATCTACATTTAAATTTGAGACTCACTGAGCTAGACTAAAGAAAAGCAAATGAAAATTTATGTAGAACACACTTGGACATTCAAACCATTCTACTTTGAGGTTACTATTTCTGAATTTAATTCAAAAATGTTAATTATAAACATCTCTACCACCACCTCTTTGTAACTTGAATAAACATGGATATCAGGGATCTATAATACCTAGCTGCCTACTACCAGTTTGTTACCCAATAGATTGCTATATAATTTCTTTTCTTAATTTTAGGCATCTAATATTTTAATGAATTATTTCACCTTTTCATATGGTACTATGAGATTAGATATACTTCTTTTCCAGTCAAAGAAAAATGATATTCCATGAAGAAGACATATGAGAACAAAACCTAGTATGTGTCCTTTTTTGGATTATTTTTTGTTTTGGTTCAGTGTAGTCATCACAATAAACAAAACCCCCATATCATGTTTATGCAAACATAAATGGATTGATGTCTGCTTACTTTGAAAACAAAATATCATCACTAGTTTAGGCTCTGGTTAAACCATTGATTAACTTATTTTCTAATCCCTTAACTACAAAAGAGGACTGTCATAAACCATCTATATACATAGAAAAGCCTAAGTCACTGTTTGACCGGTAACTATGACACACACTGACCACCAGGAGATAGATGCTCAGTGCACAGGCATGGAAACATGGAACAGACTGATGAATCTCAGAGGGAAAGGAGGAGAGAGGAAGGCAGGAAGAGATTAACCAATGATTTTATGTGCATACTAGAGGCTCAGTGCACAGATTCATGCACCACTGGGGTCCCTCGGCCTGGCCTGCAGGGATCTGGCCAAAACGGGCAGTCCAACATCCCTCAAAGGATTCTGGATTGCAAGAGGGCACAGGCCAGGCCAAGGGACACCATTGGTGCACGAATCTGTGTACTGGGCCTCTAGTATCTATAATATTTAGAAGCTGGGTTTTCCAAATATACTAATGTTTGTAGGGAAAAAGAAAGTTGTCTCTACCATCCTAAGGAAAGCCTAGTCTTTGGCAAGCCCACAAGTAGACACCTTGGCAAATTTTCACCTTTGCTTTATCATTTTTTTGATTTAACAGATAACAACTGTGACTTTGTTTTTTAGTCTTTCCCTGATTCTCTTATTCCTGATCCAGGTATACACAGGGATTCCCAGAGTGGAAAAGAAAAGTATTGTATTTTTAACAGGATTTATGGTGAAAAATAATGCTCTGTTAGAGGAAGAGAGAGTATGTTGTTTATGCTTGATGTGCTTTTTACTTTAGATTAATCACAAATACCCAGAAAGACGGCTGCTTGTGGCAGAATCCTGTGGAGCTTTGGCACCTTACCTTCCTGTAAGAATTGTCATTTTCTTCTTCCAAATGTTTTTTCCTTTTAAATAATAGAGAAACCTTTTCGCAAGTGTCTTATACATTTAAATCCAAATTCTCCTCGGGCATGTTGTCCTAATAAAAGAAAAAGATGAGTCAAAAAGAAAAGGGTTACTTTGATATAATATGGCATTGTAGAGAGGCACATTAGCCACTGATTTTGCATGAATGTAAATAGATTCAATTGTATCAGCAGGTCTGAGGACTCTGAAGGGTCACTTGACATTCTTTCAAAGAGGTCCACCAAGAGAAAATTATTTTCATAATAATATTAAAACATGTTTTGTCTTGTTCTCTATGTTGACATTTACACGGTTGGTGCAAAAGTTATAATGGGAAACAGTGCCAGTGCATTAACACTAATTAAGGCATTGACACCCAAATGTACTGGTAATGATTGTATTTCTCACCATTTTTAAAATCCACAGATACCCAAGCCAAGACTCCTGTCTTAAAGGGTCATTTTTGAAACTTGTTCTTTAAAAAGTGTACAACAGTGGAATCATACAATGATGAGCTATTTATGGAAGGAAGAGAAAGAATTTGTATAGTGATAACTCTGCATTTACTGTTAACATACCCTTTAGTGAAGAGTGAGACAATTGTTTTCTAAAAAGTAAAATTTAATGTTTTTTTGTTTAAAAAAAAATGGAAAGGAAAAAGTCCATAGTGTTGCTCAGTTATAATATATTTTTGTTGTTAAAAATAGTTATGCAGTATAGAAAAAAATAAAAAGAAAATAAAAGACTCCTCTCTCTGACCTCTAGTCATCTTCTCCAGAGATATCTATCTAGTATTAATACTTTATAATTATTACAGAAAATACTTATGCTTTTACCAGCTTTATAATTTTTATATTCTTTAAAGTTTTCTTATCCAAAATTAATTATATAATATACAGTGTTCTATATCCCCAGTAGTAAACTCTATTTACAGGTTTTTGCTTGGGTATCTGTGCATTTTAAAAATTTCTCATACTGTTAATAGCTCTGCATCTTGCTGCTTTCAGCATTTGCATTTTTTATTTTGACAGTGTTAAATTGACCCCAAGCAAGATAGCATAGATTCATACTCCTATCAACAGTACCTTGGAGTTATTCACCAGAAACTAGGCATAATGAAAAATTAAAAAAAAAAGAAAGAAAAATTTTTAATGTTTATCTTATAGGAAAAAAACTGTTACATTATTGTGATAAGTCATATAGATAGTTATATTTGAGTAAGTTTGAGCATTCTATTATTTATAGTTTCAAGATAAAGGTGAACATCACATGCTTGCAAAGGATAAGAAAGCTGTTCCACACTGCTCCTAATATTAGAATGCTAAGCAGTATTAATAATAGATTTAAGTTTTCTCCATGGATCTGCACTGGCCTTATATCACACTGTAACTGGTCATGTAAAATCTCAGTGTGTTCAGTAACACCTCCTGACTTGCCCTGTGAGTTTCCTGGGGCATCCTGAAACTAAATGCCACAGTTGACCTCAGCCTAGATCAGTGTGAAGCGCATACCCTCTGTCCCATTGCCCATGCTGATACTAAATAAGAAGCTAATTTTTAAACCAATATTTAGACTGATATTGGGGGTGGGGACAATTTTTAGCCTAAAGGATAAATAAACAAGGCTATACCTGAAGGCATATTCACCAACCTCAATGGGACTAAAATTTGCTAAAATTACATATATTTTTGTTTTTAAAAAGTCAAAATAAAAACTAAGTCATTTAAAAATGTCAGACTTTGCTCTGCATACCAAATCACACTGTAAATTTATAGAAATGGTCACATCTTCTATTTTTATTTTATTCTAACCATTATATGTAAAAAGAACCTAAACAAGTTTAGGTTTAAAGAATTGTTATAAATCAATCAAGTTACAATAATGGTACAAAGAAGGGAAGGGAAGGCAAGACTTTGTACAGTGATAACTTCATTCTAGCTTCAGCCATTAATTAGGCTAAACAATTAACATTTTTTTAACTGTGAGAAAAAAAATTATGTGAAATTAAGACACAGCAGTGGTTGGCATTATATTAAATAATAGCATCTGAGAATAGCAATGCAATTCTTGTTAAAGTACTTTTTTAGTTTACTCTCATATTTATCTATCCTGTTTGAATTTTTTTCTCAGTTCTTTAAAAATAGGAACACAAGGATTTTAAAATGTTTCCACATTCCCTACGCCAGGCAAATGCTTTAATTGCCAGAGTGATTTTTGTAACGCTCCTGTTATTACTTTCAATACTTTTCTCTGAGTTGAATAGGTAGTGATAGAAGACTCATTGTCCATTTATAGCAGAGTGTTGACTTTGGTGATTTGCCAGAAATGCCTGCTACAATGTGCTCTAAGAGTTTGCACTATTTAGCAAAGATATAAAATATGCTGGGAGATGAATAATACTAAATTCAGGATAGATGCTGCTACCTTTAGAGCGAGAGGCTAGAAAAAGATGGGAGAGGGTAGAGGAGAGTGATACTTTAGCTTTACTTATAATGTTCTATCTCTTTGAAAAATGAAGACTTGAAACAAACATAGGAAAATGTTAATATATATTGAATTTGCATTTTGAATATGTGGATATCTGTCATTTTCCCTATTTTTCTGCTGCTTATGTACGTAAATAGCAAAAACCTCTTTTTATTTTCAGAAAGAAATTCGTAGCTCCTTGGTTCTTTCAATGTTGCAACAAATGTTAATGGAAGATAAGGCAGATTTGGTAAGGGAAGCTGTGATCAAAAGCCTCGGTATCATTATGGGATACATTGATGATCCAGACAAATATCAACAGGTGTGTTTTTCAGATTGAACCCATTTACTTTATTTTAAAATTCCAGATAATATTTCAAATCTGATTCAGATACTCTATAATCTATAATAGTGAGGGCAATTATGTCCACTTTAACCAGTCTGGTTGGCTGCCTGGTTTCAGTTCTGCAATTCAGAAGAAAGAATGCTGTGATTCGTTTATACAGGAAACTGGCAACAAGCATGCATGTTTACCACCTTCTCCTCAATTTATACATGGCATTTCCTTTAAAGAAAATGGGAAGGGTGGGATTATGGATGGCTTTCTTTCCTTAAATTTTCCCTAAATGTACTGCAATATGTACTTATTACTTTTTATCGAGTTATTTTTTTAAGTTTATTCTTTTTAAAAAAAAATTCACATTTTGCCTGCTTTTTGTTTTTTGTTGTTGTTTTGGCAGGGTTTTGAATTGTTGCTGTCAGCCTTGGGTGATCCCTCAGAAAGAGTAGTTAGTGCAACACATCAAGTATTTTTACCAGCTTATGCTGCCTGGACTACAGAACTTGGAAATTTACAGCCTCATCTTATACCTACATTGCTGAGCAAGATTGAAAAACTTCTCAGGGTAATCATTCTCTTTGTTTATGTAGTTTATAGAAATTTAAAAAGTGTGTTCTAAAGCATCTTAATATAATCTTGGAAAGCAAAGATAGAAAGTAACACTTAGCTGAACATTCTAATAAATTACCAGTTAAAGATTCTGTTGGACTGGAGCCTGGGAAGATTTGAGAAAGTTCTGCTCTGCTAAAGCTAGAGGAGAAAAGACATGATCTGAGTTTGCTAATACGTGATTCAAAAAGCTGGCTCTTCCTACTCTTTTCTGAAGACTGAAAATATTTTAAAGGATCATGTCCAGTCCCAAAATGCAGAGATAACTAAAATATGAGTCTCTGGCGCTTTCTTCCTCACATAATGGCAAAATGCTTTAACTATATTTATTACACTGCAGTTGTTCATTTCCTCACCTTTTAAAATGAACTTTTCATTCTTTTCAAGTAATACAATTGAAAAGTTGAAACAATAGAAACTCTTTTATCTATTTTTTGTACTAAAAGTTTATATTGAAGTCTAGAAAAAAAAAAAAAAAGAGCATTTCTTTAAGGCATATCATATGCCATTGAGTTATATACTTAATATATACAATACTAGTGGCCCAGTGCATGAAATTTGTGCACATTAAAAGGGAATTAATTAGAGGGAATATTTTAATATTGCTATTTTCCTTTCTCTATAATAAAAGTGTCAGAGATGAAAGAAAATTAGTAAAATGTATATGAAAGTTTCCCTCTGTCAGTTTGGGGTGTGCTCTGGGATCCAGAGTCAAGTCCCTACCCACCTGCACACATCTTGAAATCGCACAAGACCCAGCCGGCCCCACCCCCACCAAGCCCCACAGGGCAGGGGCGCAGCCTCAGGTTGCCTATCAAACCCTGCTGGGGTGGGGCACAGTCTCAGGTTCCCTGGTCCGGCTTCTTGTCCTCCGGCCCCGGTGCGAAGGCACGACGACCATTTGCATATTATCTTTATTATATAGGATAATATTTCATTCCCATAGCTCTTTGAATTGTATTTTGGTTTTTGTGAGGAGACTAGGTGTTTAGGTAACTTGTGTTACACAGCTGTAAAATGACAGGACAAGGATCTAATAGACATCTACCCCCAAATTTTAAAGGATCTATAAAGGCTCTTACATAAAGCATTATAACTGCTATGTAGGTGAATATATAAATGTACATATAATTTAAAATCAAACTTTTTCCTGTAAATTCTGAATGAGTATTAAAGCAAAACTAGAAGTAAACAACTAGAGTGAAATATTTGGTTAAATGTTATATACTGAACCTTCTTACTCTCTTTTTCTGTTATCTGTTTTTTTCTTTTTGAAATTTCTTCCATGTGTTCACTTGTTTTAAAATGCTTTCAATGCTGTCAAATACAGATGTCACTGAATTTATATAGTAAGTAGGAGAGGAAAAGTAGCAAGCACTGCTATAGGTTTATCCATTCAGCATTGAAAATTATTCCTGTGGCTCATTTTAATTTCTTTATACAGACTTAATAAAATTTAAAAAAATAAGATCCTCTTTAAAACAAAAACAAAACAACAACAACAAAAACTGTGAGAAGATCCATACTAATAGAAATGATTAATGTTCACTCTAAAGTTTTCCATGTAAAAGATTCTGTTACTTCTATGCTTTTTCATACTTTCACATACTTAGAGAAATTATGATTAGTGGACCTCTCCATTAGATGTTATGTTATGAATCTAGTCTACAGGTCCTTAAATATTTTATTATTTGCCACAGAAAGGAAGAGCATCATAAATGTGTAATTTAAAAAGATTAAAATGAGCTTTCTCCTCATGTTTCAGGAAGGAGAACATGGGCTGGATGAACATAAGCTCCACATGTATCTTTCTGCCTTGCAGTCCTTGATCCCATCTCTCTTTGCATTCGTGCTGCAGAATGCCCCTTTCTCCAGCAAAGCCAAGCTTCATGGTGAAGTGCCACAGATAGAAGGTACTGAACCGAAATTGTGGAAGGGAGATGCAGGGTATTAGTTGCTTCACTCCCCAAAGAATTGCTTTTGACTAAAAGTTTTTTAATCACTTTATATGGCAGAATACTTACTAAAATGTATTATAAGTCTGTGTGGAATTTGCGGTCATATGTCTTCATCTTTTATGGATAAGCTTCATGGTATTATGTTATACTTTTTATTCATAATCTATAATCCTTTTATAACCTTTTTTTGGTGACTGAAATAAGTATTTTCTTTTATTAATAGAGCTGAATCAATAAAAAGATCTACTTAATACTGCCAGTTTATGTTTGAGTGCCAGTTTATGAAGCTTTTGATTTCCACTTTCTTTATCTTTTTTCTTCCCCAGCTGTTTCATCTTATTAGGGAAAAGTAAATGTGTTACTTTTTCCTACTATGTCCTTATAAAGAATGTAAGCATATGCAGCAGAATTCTCTCTTTTTTTTTCCTCCAAAGAAAGAATATGATCTGTTTTCAGAAATATGTGAAATTGATAGCAAAAGCCAGTATTTTCTTATCTGTGTTCAGCTAATGAGTAAGTGACCTTTGATCAATGGCACTAGGTGACCCCACTGCACCTATCCCCCAGGATAAATGGTTATAGACAAGCTATTACTATTTATGAGCTCCTTCTCAGCTTTTTCAGATTTGTGAAATTATCAATGTTTTCTACTGCCTTCTGATAGACAGAAGAATGTAACATTGAGAATAGCAACAGACTCTTAAACTTTTTTAGAATTGAACTTTTCAGATTAAAAAGAAAGTGTGGGTTACCTAAAATCTTACAGATATAAAGAAGTGTGTCCAAGGATACAGAAAACACACCATAAAAATAGTGTATGCTGTTTGAATGTCAATTTGATTTGGAAAATTGAGAATGAATAGAGTAGATTTGAATATATTTAAGTGATATTATTGAGGATGGAAATTCAAACTTTTAAGACTAGTCTTTCTAAGGCACTCACAGCTGGCCTTTTCAGGTTCTGCCCCTCACTCAGTAAGGCAGTTCATCTGCTTAGGGACTTTCCTGGCTTTTTAATTTCCTCTTTTTCTTTCTCTCTACAGTAAGTCTTGACTATATCTGTTTTGCTTTTCATTGTTCCATTATTTTCCAATAATTTGTCACTTTTTAAAGGAATAACATTCCATTGCATTATAAAAGATTGTAACCAATGGTTTGAAATTATATTAAATATCCTTTGACATGATGTAAAAATATGAAGTACAAATATTACTCACCATCCAAGTCTAATTGATTCCTGGGTTGAAGTCCTGAAAATTAAAGCAGAGACCTAAGAGAGTGAGGAATACCATGTTACTCAAACTATTTGTTTGTGTATTACAATAGCAAATGGGAGAGTTCAGCTAGCAAGGGATAAACTTTATTGTACTTAATGTATTGTTGGAAACCTTGCACACCATAGACAGATAATAATATCTTACTATTGCCTTTGAGCATCTTAAAAATTAAGTGTATTTCATGTTTTCTTAATTTTAATTATCATGAACCATTGGTATGTTTTGAGAAAATGCTGCACCCTTACTTGTATCTTTATTGGGTGTCAGCCTTTGCAGGAGTTGCTGGGTTTTAGGACTTTCTGACCAACAGTTAATGAGCTGTTGGCAGGCGTTATTCACTAACCATTGAAGAAGTGTTTTCTTAATAACCTGGGATCTATTTATGATCTACAAGATCAACCCATAAGTCCAAACTTTAAAATAAACTAGTGAATATTCATGTTTTATTTACATAATTTTAAAAGTATATACATAAGACCCTAGTTATAATATTTATAGTACATCATGCCTTATTTTACTGGTTACTGGTTTTAATACTTTATATTAACTTAATGTTTATCAAATATTGAAATTTTTTTAAACAAAGCATTTAGTAATAGAGATTAAATACTTATGAAATCAGTTCAGCTGAAGCTTTAATGTATTTTATATTACTATACTCTGGTATTAAATAATTTTTTCCCTGCTATTAACCTATTAATTTATTACTCCCCAAAGGAAGCATCTTAACATATTTACTATCCTTTGGCATAAGCAATCTGGTGGAATTACAAGTATTTCTATCTTTTATACCAAATTTAAATCCCTATTTAGCTAAGATTTATCACTGGTCCAATTTTAATTTAACCTAAAGTGAAATATTACTCATTAGCAAACTAACTCATTACAATTTTCACTTATAATTATTTTGTTTCATAAAGTCTTAACTTTGAAATTAAAAAGTGTGACTAAAATTTTTTTCGAAAAATGACTTGATTAATTTATCTCAGTAAAGTTTATAATAAGCCAAATAAAATTAGGAGGTAGAACTTTATTTTCCTTTAACAGAATAGCTAACTTCCCAAACTGCCATTTTCTGCATGATGTATTTTGCTTTTATTATTTGTAGTGACACGGTTCCCCCGGCCTATGTCACCCCTTCAAGACGTGTCTACTATTATTGGAAGTCGTGAGCAATTGTCAGTGCTACTACAACTTTATGATTACCAGCTGGAACACGAGGGTACAACAGGCTGGGAGAGTTTACTGTGGGTTGTCAATCAATTGTAAGTTCCCACCTTCAAAATCATTTGGTTAAAACTCATTCAGTTGATTGAAAGATAGCTTACTATATTTAGCTTGGCCCTTTTGTTATAGAAAATATAACAAAATATAAAAAAATAGAACAAAATCTAACTTGGCAGCATCTCTGGTAAACTGGTTTAGGAGAGGAGATTTACACCACTGGATGGGTAGTGATTTATCTACAAAGATAGTGCTACTGTGTTATATCAAAAGAATCTGTCTTCTGCCTTGTTGATTAATGGTGATGATGGATTTTAAACTACATCCAGACTTCTCATTTTTGAGGCTAAAATGGATGCCACAGTAGCAAACTTCTTATGTGAAGCATTAAAATTCATTGATTTGAGTCTCAAACATTTACTCCATGTTCAGAATTCTGCCAGAGTTCCATATATTTTATGATAAGCAGTTAAATTTTATTTTAACAAGTTTATAGAGTAGAATGAAAACTTAAGACCTTTTCAAAGGGTCTCAAACAACTCCTTTGTTTTCCAACTTTACTGTCTATGAAAACCAAAACAGCAGAGGTTGTAAGATTGCATTGTTTCAGAAATTGGCGAGGAAACAGTAATTTATATGTATCCCCTGCCTATTTTTCTTTCCTTTCATATTCAGGTTGCCACAACTTATAGAAATAGTTGGCAAAATTAATGTTACTTCAACTGCCTGTGTCCATGAATTCTCCAGATTTTTCTGGCGCCTTTGCCGGACATTTGGCAAAATTTTTACAAACACTAAGGTAAAAACTCGTATTCCATATTTTCTTATATGCAAGATCTATAAAAATGTAATGTGTTAATTAATGCTATAAAAGAGTAAATAAGAGAATGAGCCCTACCTTTAGTCTAAGTATCTTTTAATATCTTAGAAAATTATGATAGTAAAAAACAATTCTAGTTGGTAATATCCTTAACTTTACATCTGATTTTCAGAAGATGATTTAGCCTAAACTTAGTTTGTATCCAGATTTGGATATATCTACTCACTGTTTTAGCATAGAAAGTATCAATTCTTTGAATATGCTTCTGACCTACCACAGATATTGAAAACAATTATTTGCTCAGTACACTTTAGTCAAAACCTCAGGTGATTATAGAACCAAAGCACCTTATATAGGAAACGTCGTGGAAAGTAGCTCATAGACTAGCATAGAAACTTAAGATAAATGCTGCAGTTTTCAGTCACTAACAAAAGTAACTTTTGTCACATTTGCTTACCCAGGTTATTTTGTAGTTTTAGGTATTAAAATGTCCATGTCCTTAGATATAAATTTCTTCTTTAATCCAGTTAATCCACTTGTCTTTATGGGATATTATTAAGCAAATTCGTTAGAGACCTCATAAAAACAAAAATATGCAGTAGCTATAATCAAATGTTAATCAAGATATTTAAAAGGTAAGAATTTTGTGCAGCTCTTTCCTATTAAATATGTCGTTTCTGAAACATTAAAGCAAAAACGGTTTGGTATAGTTGACTGGACAAAATTCAGAAAATTAGTTATGTCCCTGTTTTGTTTGTGACCTATAATAATTTATCTGGCCTTAGTCTTTTCATGTGTGAAATGAAGAAATTGCTTCAATATCTTTTCATTTATAGAACTGTAGGTTAATCTTTAAACAGGGGTCTTCATCTCAGTTTAACCTGAATGTGTAAATTAATGCTTGACCTGCCAGTAAGAGGGGAAAACCAGACCTTGATATTACTGTAGAATAAACAAGATTATTTTATATTTTTCACTAGAATCTAATTATCAAATATAATTTGATTTTACTGTTGTCATTAGTGACAAAAACTGTTTGGCATCTCCAGAGAAATAATTACTTTTTTTTTTTTTTTTTTAACAAAAGCAAGTAAAAGTCTACTTTAGCGACCTGAAAACTGAAATCAGTGATGATGTTAATAATAAAATATTGAAACAATCATTAGTTCTAACTTAAAATATTTAATTGAAATTCAGTATTTGATGTTTACATTTTAATTTCAAGGAATTTAAAATAAAAGACTCATTTAAACAGATGGATATCACATGATGAGTATGTTACTTGTTGCATATCCTGAATGAATGCAATTTCCTTTTCATTCCTTCTAAGTAGAGCAAATGTTTTGTTCAGTAATTTTGATCATATAATATCTACCTAAATAGCCCTTCTATCATCAGTTTCAATTTAGGAGGTGGTAATTTCAAGCTTTTAAAATTCTCTTGGAAATTAGTTTAGTGAAGTAAACTAAAGGTTCTTCAGAAAACACTTGCTGACCTGAATTGATTTTATATATATTTTATCTCTTAAAGTATTATTTTTTAGTAACTTGACTGTTCTTTTATCCTAAACTTGTTAAAAATGATTACATTTCTGAACACTTGAATGATCTATAAAGCAAAATAAATAAATATATAGTAGTATTAAACATCATTTATTTACTCATCAACTGATCTATGAACCTGAGACTTTTTTGGGTCTTTTCTTTGGATTGCTTAGGTAAAACCTCAGTTCCAGGAGATTCTAAGACTATCTGAAGAAAACATTGGTAAGTTTGTTATTACTTTTAGAAACAATTGGATCTCTTTATTCAGAAAAAGTACTATATTTATTATATGCAAATTGTATAAATGAACGACCTAGTACAATTGAAAAGGAAAATTTATAGTATGGAGCTCTTCCTTTTACAACTGTGTGGCATTTAATATCCTCCTCATGAGGTGCTAGTGAAATTAATCTGATATTTTAAAGAAACCACAGGTTTAAATGGGTAGCTCCAGCCCTTCTGTTGATAGTTTTCAACTTACCTTTCTTAAGAAGTCTAGTTGTAGCACTGTTGGCCTAGTAACTTGTTCATGTGTGAATCTTACATCCCTATGTATTTTTCTAGTTTTTAGGAATAAATTATGGGAAATGTTAGGGGGAAAATATGTATAGTATAGTGCTCCTCCCCTTTTTTCAAATGTACACATCAGCAATTTTCAACCTTAAAAAAAAAAGTATTGATTTTAGAGAGGAAGGGAGAGGGAATGAGAGAAACATCAGTCAGCTGCCTCTTGCACACCCTCTTCTGGGGATCAACTCCACACCAAAAAATGTACCCTGACAGGGAATCAAACCAGCAACCTCTCGGTGGACCAAACAATGCTCAACCAACTGAACCACATCATCCAGGTTTTCAAACTGTTTCATCTTATGGCACAAATAAATGATTAAAATTCTGCAGCACACCTAAAAAAATATTGTTTTGGCAGTCTGACACACACACACACACACACACACACACACACACACACACACACAAAATAGGTGTAATTTTGATTTAAATGAGATCTTGGCTGTTGTTGTGTTGGCTGTTGTCATTTTTTTTTATTTGACAACCTAAGTAAAAGAAGTCAGTGCCTCTGACCAAATAGTCAGGTATTGCTGTCTTAAATTTTTTTGTGGGACACTGGTTGAAAATCACTGTTGATATTATCTTTTAGTTAATTATTAATTCTGATGATAAATTAATGAAGAATGTTTACATATTTTAGAAACTCACAGCTTTTATAATTATTATCTGTAAGTGTTTAGCTGTTCACATAAGAAGTGGATTACTAATTCCTGTATATAGAGTGCATGCTTATAACTTTAACTTATGTTCCCCGCCTCAGATTTACCTCTAAACTATCATACCATAGTCTTACTCAAGCAATGTCAATATTCCCGTAAAGAAAAATAAATTACTCTTACCAAGATAATAAATAAATCTCAAATACTAGTTGATAATGAATTTTGAACTTTCTTTTTTGCTAAAATTCCTTTAGAGAAGTCAGGTAAGACACCTTTTCAACTCAGTTTGTTTCTGAAGAGAATTTAAAACCATATAAAAATAGGAGAAAAAATATTTTTAGTACATAAAAGTAAATGTAAAGCATTCCAAACAGTGCCTAAAGGTCAATAACCAAGAGCAAGCTATCTGTTTTATAAACAGTAACTGTCATATCACCTCTAGAACCTTTCTTTTTGAAATCATCTACAGGTGCTACATTTTAAAAACAATCTCACTTTACAGTAGTCACAAGGCATTCTCCTGTGGTTGGCTAATTCTCTATTTCCCCTGTTTTAATTAGCCTGATTCCTGGCTGAAAATCCCTATAAACTAGAGGATGCAGGAGGGGCTCTGGAACTAGGCCAGTACTGGATACTAGGGAGAATCTCATATCTAGAAGCAGATTAAATAATACACATCTAGGCACCTCCGTTAAGCTGAGTGCCTTTACATTTCATTGAATACTATAGATTGAAAGCCTACAAATTTTGAAGAACTGCTTATATGAGTACTTGGAAGGTTCTTAAAGAAAACTCTTAATTTCTGATTATGGAAATGAGTATAGCATCTCATTTTGGTTATTAAAATTTTTCCCCATCTATCAAAATGTTTATGCTAATGATATAAGTACAACCAATGGACACAAAACTCTGGGGAAGGAAGGTATGTATGGAGGGGGCAATGTTAAAATATGTACACAGATAATAATTTAATAAAAATTAATTAATTAAATAATAATAATAATAATAGAGGGTAACTAATTTTTTTTTTTCTTAAAGAAAAAAATACCAACTAGAGCCCGGCTGGTATGGCTCAGTGGTTGAGCATTGACCCAGGCACCAAGAGGTTGCCAGTTCGAGCAGAAACCGGTTTGGCTCAGTAGATAGAGCATCGGCCTGTGGACTGAAAGGTCTCAGGTTCTATTCTGGTCAAGGGCATGTACATTGGTTGCGGGCACATCCACAATAGGGAGTGTGCAAGAGGCAGCTGATTGATGATTCTCTCTCGTCGATATTTCTAACTCTCTCTTCCTCTCTGTAAAAAAAAAAATCAATAAAATATATATTTTTTTAAATGTTTATGCTAATGAATCTGTAAAAAGTAGTAAGTTACATTTTAGAACTCTCAGTAAATATATTTTAATCAAAATTATTTTTCAAAGTAATGATATTGTAGGCCTTATAACCAGTTGTAACTTTAAATATAATTAACATTGTGACTTTTTGCTTTGCTTTTAAAATATACTAGAATTTTTAAAATTATTTTCATAATTTTAGATTCCTCAGCTGGAAATGGGGTCCTCACTAAAGCTACTGTCCCCATTTATGCAACAGGAGTTCTTACATGTTATATTCAGGTAAGGGCAAAAATCCTTTTACTGGAAAATGTAGAAGTACTTTTTACTAGTTATTTAATATTACTATGTCTTTTTAAATGTGTATAGGTGAAATGTTATCCATAAAGGAAAGCAAAGCATTTATTCATTTTATTCGATTTATTATTTATAGTGGGAGAGCATATTTGAATAAGTCTCAGAGTAAAATCTCTATTGAATAAAAATTTAGAAATTGTGTTCTTTATACTTTGTTAGAAGTGTAAAATTGCACTTAGTTAGCAGTTTCCTTCTGTTGATGAATTTTTAAAACAAAGGAACCACATATTAGGTAAAGCAAACTAGAAAATGCTATAGAATACCGTACTCTCATCAGTTTTATCAAAGTATTTTTTATCAGCCCAGCCCAGATTTAAGAGGAGAGACCTAAACAAGGACATGAACCAGAAGGTGTGGTTCATTGGTTGTCACCAATATAACAGACTACTTAACATTGTTTTAAGTTAATAACACACACATGATGTGTAGTGTACTAAGGCATATCAGTCATTTTTAAATGTGAAGCAAGTTCCACTAGTAAGGTGAAAATATTGACTCAGAATAAAAGCATTTTGGGAAATTAGAATGTGAGAATCAAAAAGGAAAATCTTTTGTCCTGAATTTTCTTTCATTTTTTTAATAACATTTATTTTACTTTTTGAATTCAAAGTACAGTAATTTATATTTATTATACTCTTCTTCCAAAATAGATATGAACCATCTTATAATATTAAAATATAGTTCTACATTATCTGCATAATACCTTGCGATAGAAGCTCCAATTCTGTTAAAGTAGCACAGTATTTTTTTTAAATTTTTTTTTCTTTTCTTGTTTTTTTTTTTTTTTTTTTTTTTTTTTTTTTTTTTAGAGAGAGAGAGAGAGAGAGAGGAATGGAGAGGGAGAGAAAGATAGAAACATCAATGATGTGAGAGAATCATGGATTGGCTGCTTCTTGCATCAAGCATACAACCTGGGCATGTGCCCTGACTGGAATCGAACCCTGACTGTGACCTCCTGGTTCATAGGTTGACGCTCAACCACTGAGCCATGCCAGCTGGCCAGTATTGTTTTCAACTTTCCTTTTCTACACTAGTTCTTAGACTACCTCATAATGTGGTCTTTCTTCCTGTCCTTAAATTCATAGAGATTTAGTCTTAGCATATGCCAGGCACAATTGTACGAATACCATTCTCCTCTCTGTTTAATTTTGGAAGCTGTTTCAGCATAATAAGTGTGATGTCAATATTTTTCTCTCTCTTGTTTAACCACTACAAGTTTGTATGTTGATTTTGACCATAAATAGTGTTTTAAAGCATAATAAAATACCAAGTATAAGGTTTGCCTCAGAATAAGTAGGCCCTTAGTAGATTTGTTGAATAAATGAATAAGGATATATCTTTTGAGTCACTATATGAAGTCCAGATATCTGAAGAGATAACTTCTTAGTTTGTTTAAAAAAAAAAAAAGTAATTGAGGTAGCTATCATAGATTGCTAGTGTTACTTGTTTTAGGAAGCACATACCAGCAGTTAATATTTTTGTTACTAAAGAAAATTTTCTATTAGGATAATTCACTGCCCTTTTGCTTTGGTTAACAAAAACTATTTTGAATCAAATACATAAACAGTATATCTTGTTTTGAGCTTTTAAAAATGAGAAATAGGATTGTAGTAAATTTCAAATTAAAAAATCCATGCTCACTTAGAGTTGTAGTTCATAATTCTCATTTCACTCTATTTCAGTTCATTTAACAAATTTATGTATACTTTTTGCTTGACATAGGAAAGTAAAAATGAGTGAAATCACTATTTTAATGTAGCTCTAATGCTGATTTGTCAGTCTAAACTTTTCACTAAGTAGACTGTTGTGATCTAAAACTGTGACATTCAACTTTATTCATGCTGGTCATTATTTTTATTGATTCTTTATCACTACCTCATTCTAAATTTGTCTACTGTGTAGAAAAAAAACAGTAGGTGATAATCTAGTCTTCCTCTGGAAGCTGTTTATTGTTGATTTATTATATCCCTAATGACAAAAAAAAAATGGTATCCCTAATGACAAAAAACTTTAATTTATTATATATTTTCTGATAGAATATCAAATCCCCTTTCCTTTCAGATTCAGGTTAATTTAACATATAGTTGTGTGTGTTTTTTTAACATTCCTTGTTTAGCAGCCAGTACAACTAAGTCACTGAATTCCTTCTTTCACTTAATTTTTAATTTAAACTTAAATATGAATAATCACATGTGGTGGGTGGCTACCACATTGGACAGCACAGATCTAAAACTTTGAAGTAAGATAGTCTTTGTCTTCCTAGTACTATATATTATAGATATGCTTAATAAATACTTTTTAATTAAAATGCTTCCAAATTAGTATATTTTCCCTTTATTTGGTAAATTTTTCTAATGAGAGATAATAAATTATGGTTTTAATTGTACTTGATTGCTTGGAAATTTATTTTCAGTCTTTTTCCTCGGTAGGAAGAAGACAGGAAACTGTTAGTTGGATTCTTAGAAGATGTAATGACCTTGCTTTCATTGTCTCATGCTCCTCTTGATAGCCTGAAGGCTTCTTTTGTGGAACTAGGGTAAAAATAATAGCTTACTGTTTTTTAAAATTTACAATTTATACATTGGATTTATAGAATATATATTTTCAGTCTAAAAAGATTGATATGTATATCAGCTCTCTTGGTTTTGAGACAAGGTTTTTTGCATTTTTATATATTAATATTTTGGAGTTTTTTGTTTTTTTAATATAGTTTATTGATTTTGTATAGAGAGGAAGGGAGAGAGATAGAGAGTTAGAAACATCGATGAGAAAGAGTCATCAATCAGCTGCCTCTTGCACACTCCCTACTGGGGATATGCCCGCAACCAAGGTACATACCCTTGACCAGAATCGAACCCGGGACCTTTCAGTTCCCAAGCCGGCACTCTATCCATTGAGCCAAACCAGTTTTGGCTATCTATTAATATTTTGTAATCAATACATTATAATAAAAATGTGGGAAAAGGGCACAGACTTATGTTTTCTTTAAGCATTTGGAGAAACAAAATCAAACACAGATTTGAAGAAAAATTTTTTTTTTCCAAAACTGAAAAAGGAGTCCTAAGAGAAAGCCAGTCATTAGGCTCCTTTTTCTGTTCCATTTTATGGCCTAGTCCCGCTCATACTCACATCACCTATTGCTAAAGCAGTGTTAACCCAGCCTTCTCTGAAAACAGGCTTATACATTTATTAATACTATCTTGCATTGTGATAGGTTTCACAGACAGCTTGCCCTTCCATATAGATAATTTGAGTTGATGTTATTTAATCTTACAAGAACCATATGACATAGATAGGACATGTATTGCTTCTCCAGTTTTGATATAGATAGATCTACAGAGGCTGCAAAGTGCCCATATGACTCTCAGTCTGGCATCCTTTCTTTTTTATCTCATAGGTAAATTTTATTTTTCTTTACATTTTTATATTTTAACTTTTATGTTATTAAAGTGTAAAAGTATAATTTTTTAGTATGCTGGAAGTTTGCAGTTTTATAGGCTAACTAAACTATATTTCATGTTTTACTAATATTTTATTATTAATAATCTATAAATTAATATTTTTCAAAACACCCCATAAGGCACTGTGGCTCTTACTTTAATATTGATTTTTTTTCATTTCAGTGCAAATCCAGCCTACCATGAATTATTGTTAACGGTTTTATGGTATGGTGTTGTCCATACTTCAGCACTTGTGAGGTGTACTGCTGCTAGGATGTTTGAGGTATGTAAACAAGTGCTTCTCTCGGTTCAGATTAGAATGATTTTCTCTAGAAGAGGGAGAAGGGAGTGTTTAAACAAAAATGGCTTTGCATAGGATGTTATATTGCTGTATGTTTTATGGTATTGAATAGTGTCTGATTGTGAACTGTGTGATGGGGCAGAAATTTAGCTTTGACATATTTAAGAATGTGGATGTTATTCTTAAATGTTAGTTTCGTTTTTTGAATTTTCTTTTAAATCATATTTTAATATCCATTCTATGTAAATCTTTCTAACCACTCTGTTTACTGAGTTATGTGGCTACTATAATAAACTGAAGCAATATATTTTTAAGTTGTAAAATATAGTTGTATTCATGAGTAGCATTAAAAAGTTTATTAATGTAGTTATAGAAATATTTATTTTATTGGTTATTCTTACTTCACTATTCCCTCACATATCATATGCAGAATAGCATCCCTATAGATTATCAGCCCACAGATTTATAAGAGAGAAAAGACTGTTCATGTAATTTAACTAGATTTTCTTAAATTGCCACCTACCCAAGTTAACTATCTTTTGTATCCATCATAAAGAAAATATGTCATTCCCTAAAAATATATCTAGAACTGGTATTTTATCACTAAAATTGGTTTCGAGTATTTCTTACAGCTATTGAGTCTTGCCATAGAGCCAGACTGCCTGGGTTCAGTGTCTGTCTCAACACTTAGTTGCAAGTTCAAACTTCTCTGTGCCTCAGTTTCCTCATCTACAAAATGAAGATGATAATAAGTATCTATCCCAAAGGATTTTTGTTAATATTAAGAATTAATACTTGTAAAGCCTTTAAAACAGTGCCTGGCACATAATGAGAGCTTAATAAATGTGTTAATCATTATTACTTGTTTTTTAATTTATGCTAGTCACACAATAATATAGTAGTTTAGAGAGCATATTTATCCCAACTAAAGTTTCCAAATATACATGTGATTTTAAAATGTCTGAAAGCATTTATTTCCATAAGAAAAATGGAATAATTCAGTTCTTCCTGAATTTCAGAATTTTTCCACAATTTAAGATACATTGCAATTGAAGGATAGAGCTCTGATATATTTAAAATGTTTAATTTCTGAAACTTAAATATGTAAAATAGATTTGTGGAATTCAAAGAAAAGTTTATTGTTATCTGGAGGTTGAAAATTCTCTGTCCATATTACTCCCTCAGTTATTACTCATATTTAATTTTAAAAAAACTATAATCAAGTGTTCTTTGTCAAAGTTAATATCAAATTAAAAATTCTGCTTTATATCTAGTATAAGTTCCTCCTGGGTGTAAATAATTTTTCATTATTCAGTATGCTGAAAAAGAGTAGTTACTATGAAAGAAAAGTCTCCCTTCAATCCCTTCTTTCCCCAAAAAGAAAAAAAAAGCCCCCCCTTTAAATGAAGAGCTTTTTCTTTAATATGTGCTCTTCATAGGATTTTATTCTAAGACTATAAAAACTATTGCTTTTAAACCATTTGTTTCTAAAATGTATGTATACACTGGTGAAGCAAATCATTTGAGTGGAGATAATTTAAATAAAATGAAGCATCCTCCTATTTTATTTGTGTTTGAACTTTTTTCTACCTTATTTCTTATATGTGGCTTTTGTCAGGTTTTCACTTTCTATGTTTGCTATCAGTGCTGGTTGTAAACTATGCCTATGCTTAAGCAGTTTTCAGTGTTCTCTCAGATTACTTTGAGCTTCTGAGTCTAATTTGAGAGATTTATTATAATACTTTTTCAAATTCATTTATGATAAAAAAAAATTTTCACTGAGCATGCTAGTAAAAGTAATGGTTACTTTTTTGTCAATAATCCATATTTAAACTAAATTGTATTAAAGGAATAAGTATATTTATAAGATTTGTTTTGATACTAATAGTTTAAAATTTATAATTATGCCTGCTCCCCACACACACAAAAAAATAAATTAATTTAAATTAAAAACATAAATACAGGACACCTAAAATTAAAAAAAAAAAAATTTTAATGTGAGATCAGAAACTAGAAGAGAAGTCAAGAAATGATATACCAGGAACGTAATAGGAGATACTTTAGTGAAATTGAACACTAAATTTAGCTCCAGTTTTCAGACACAGAACAGAAAGGGAAAATCCAGTCAGTCATGTATTCTTTTTCTTTTTTAATATATTTTTATTGATTTCAGAAAGGAAGTCAGAGGGAGGAGAGATAGAAACATCAATGACAAGAGAGAATCATTGATTGGCTGCCTCCTTCATGCCCTGTACTAGGGATCAAGCCTACAGTCTGGATATGTGCCCTTGACCAGAATCTAACATGGGACCCTTGAGTCTGACGCTCCATCCACTGAGTCAAACCAGCTAAGGCTCAGTCATTTATTCTCATTCTTTATAATATCCTATATAATAAAAGCCTAATATGCTAAGTGTCCGGTTGTCCATTCAACCAATCAAAGTGTAATATGCTAATGATATGCTAAGGCTGCTCAATCGCTTGCTATGACATACACTGACCACCAGGGAGCAGACAGTTGACTGGTCAACCTGTTGCTGTGATGTGCACTGACCACCAGGAGGCAAATGCTTTGACTTGTCCGTAGCTTGCTGATGGAGTCTGGCTGATAGGGACTAAGCGAGATGGGCTAGACACATTCTGGAGTCCTCCCGCGGTCCCTTGGGCCAACCTCCCACGTCCCTTTCCAGCCCCAGTTGTGCATTGGTGGGGTCCTCAACCTGACCTGCACCCTCTTGCAATACAGGACCCCTTGGGAGATGTCAAAGAGCCGGTTTCAGCCCGATCCCACAGGCCAAGCTGAGGGACCCCACTGGTGCACCAATTTGTGCACCAGCCCTCTAGTTGTTAAATAAAAGGCAGTATATTACTCTTTTAAGTAGCAAATTATTATTGAAATAGATTTATGAGGTGACTTTATCATGTGACTCCCAGTGTGACATAATGGATTCCCCAAAAGATGCAGAAAGAACTGCATATAACTATTTCTTATATTAATCATAAGGAAATTAGCATGTGACCTTGGACTACAACTCACAGAAGGCATGGGCTTTAAGACAGATGTGATTGAGTCTATTTTCTAGTTCACTTCTAAAACCCTGGACAGGTTACTTAATTTCTCCGAAGCTCATTTCTTCATCTGTTAAAACATTGATAATAGCTGTACTTACCTCATCAGGTTCAAAGATCAAATGAGATATTGTATGTAAAGTGTGTAATAATTCATAGCTCTTAAATTTTGCTTTCTGGTATTCCAGCTTAACCAGGAATTAGACTTAAAAACTCCAGAGCAATGAAAAATTAACTTTCCCTAGATTATCCTTTTTTAAAATTATTATTAATGTGCTTTGGCTGGCACAAGGTAGCAGACAGTTTAACATACATTCTACTGATTCAAATCTAAGCTACTTATTTATAAAATTATAGAGATAAGAGCTTTATTAAACAGTATTTAAACTTTTTTGTATTTCTTTGTACTTGATATCATTAATGTTTAAAGTAGTAAAACAAAGTTCTTATGTCATTTTATTCCTGTCTAATTATGGATTTTTTTAATAAAAATTATTTTATAATGTTGAAGTAGATTCTAAAGTGAATCAGTTGTTATATGGTAACAGATTATTGTAAAATTAAGAATCTTCACATAAAGTGAGCCCTGCTCCCTCTGATGTGTTGTGTAGGAGGAATGTGTTAAGATATGCACGCAGTGTTTGGCTTTTGTTACTAAAAATTCCATGACATCCTTTTATCTTCAAGAGGACTAGTTCCACTACCAGAGAACAGATTGGTTAGCATTTAGTATTAATTTGTATTTACATTCTGAAATTGAGAATTAGAATATTGCCCTTCTCTACTAAACTAATAAAATTCAGTAATTTATTTACTTGAGCCTTTAGAGAAATACAAAACAGAAAACTACTTGAACCAGTCAAATATTTTTTAACATGTTTTTTGTGGTAACATTGGTTTACAACATTATATAAGTTTCAGGTGTGCAAAATTATAAATTGACATCTTAGGTACTACATCATGCTAACCACCAAAAGTCTAGTTTCCATCCATCACCATAGAATAAAATTTTTTAAATTTAATAATTTTTTTCCTAATATATTACTAAAGCTTATGTCCTTGGAGTACTCATAAAAATTAACCTCACTTTGGCTCATTGGATAGAGTGTCAGTCTGCGGACTGAAGGGTCCTAAGTTTGACTCCGGTCAAGGGCATGTACCTTGGTTGTAGGCACATACCCAATAGGGAGTGTGCAGGAGACAGACAATCAATGTTTCTCTCTCATTGATGTTTCTAATTTTCTATCCCTCTCTCTTCCTCTCTGTAAAAAGTCAATATATATTTTAAAAAATTAATCTCATGTTTCTTGAATGCTTAGTCTTAGTCTTGCACCATATTTAGGTATATTATGTGTAATTAGTAGCATAACTGTCCTTTAAGGTAGACTATAATATCATCATTTTCAGATGAGAAAATTTGAGTTTGAAGAGATTACATTATAATAGATCCAAGGCCATGTGGCTGATAAGTGGAGAGCTAGAGTCTGAACCCAGATCTTATTCCCAACATGTCATACTTTCCAGTAGGCTATATTATATCTGTCTGTAAGCTATGTGATGTAAAAAGTTGGGTATTTCCCTATGCGATTTAAAACTTGTTCTAGAACAATCAGAAGCAATTTAGTGGTGGTGCTAGCCATTTGAGTTTTGTTTTAAAATGGTGCAGTTTGTACTTTCTTGGTCATAATAAAGTCACACCAGATTTACTTAAATAATTCTAACCATAGAACCAAAAATGTATCTTCTTTTTAGCTTTGTTTTAAAGTAAAAAAAAAAAATTGCATTAAAAATTGTATTTTAATTGAACATATAAATTGCATAGACTATTTGACCAAAAGTACAAACTCTATTAAGTTGGTGACAAACTCTGTTCTTGTGGACTGCCAGGCTATTTAAGCTCTATTTTCCTCCTAAGCATTCTCTGCCTTTATAAAGCACTCTAGTAGCAATATTTGCTTAGCTTCTAATTTTGTTTTTGCTTTTGTGTTTTCTCTCTTTCTCTTGGTTATTCCTTTCCTCTCCCGTGGCATTGTGTTTGCTCTTAACATGCATCACCTGTGAATACCCCCTGCGCTGACCAATCAGCTGTTGGTGAAGGGGGTGAATGAAACTCTGGTAGCTCAGAGGGTTGTTCCTGCTCTCATTACTCTCTCCAGTGACCCTGAAATGTAAGTGTGGTCCCTGCCTTTTACATTCAGCATCCTTTTCAAACTGTGCCTGTCAAGAAGTAACCATCAGCTTTTAAAGTCATTGAAGAATATACTTATCTCTTTAAAATAACAATATTGGAGTACACTTATTGATTAAACTTTATCATTTTTAAGATATTTATATATCTATAGGTCAACTTGCATAGTAATCTTAATTTGGACGCCATTTATTCAAAAACACATATTAGTAGTATTAGTTCTCAATAAATATTTTCAAAACTTAACATGCTGATGGACTATTTCTTCCAAGCCAAGAAGGGATGCTCTGCTAATCTCACTAATATATTGTTACCAGTAAGTATAGCGGCATGAACCAAAGGTTAACATTTAATGCTCGAGTGGGTGACTAAACCAAGAAAGGCCAATCAGTCTGCCTGCCCATCCTCAGTCACAGCTAACCCAGTTCTCATTCCAGTTTACCAAACCATTTTTTATTGCATGTTGACTGGTTTACAGCTGACTCTACGAGGCATGAGTGAAGCGTTAGTTGACAAGCGGGTTGCTCCGGCCCTTGTTACCTTATCCAGTGATCCTGAATTGTGAGTTTCACAGACTGCGACCTTAAGTTATCCTGTCTGCCTTTTTGAGCATTCTTCTTGGTCTGCCTTTTTAAATTTTAATTTGTCATTGCTAGAGATTTAATACAGTATATTTACATTGTACTTACTTTGATATACATTTTAATAATAGTTATTCATCTCAGAGAAAGCTTCAGTTTCTTTCTCTTTCCATTCTAACAGCTCCGTTAGGATTGCCACAATTCCAGCCTTTGGCACTATTATGGAAACAGTTATTCAAAGAGAGGTAGGAAATGGTTGAAATTTATTTCTGTCTATATAGGGTTGAGGTGATGATAACACATTAGCATATATACCTGGTTGGGGCTGGGACAAGGAGCATCATACCTTTCATTTTATTTCTTAGTGTGGCCAGAGGAGGATCTCAGTATTTGAAAACATGATAGTCTGCCCAAAAGTATCCTATATAATAGATTTAATGTGCATATGCTCACTACACCATGAAGTGTAACGACCAGATCACGGATCAGTAGGAGGGTGGGGCAGCGAGCTACAAGCGGGCAGCAGAGACTACAGGAGTGGGCAGGGCAGCAAGCTATGAAGGGGGGCAGGTGGCAGGGGTGGGGAGGGAGTTACAGGAGGGCGGCAGCGAGATACTGGTGAGCTACTGGTGCACGAATTCGTGCACAGGGCTTCTGGTATTATCATATCCTAAGGAAATCTCTAGTCTTTCTTCTCAATTAGAAAATTAAGTATAAATCAACTCTCAGATATTGGATATTGCAGTTTTGGATAATCCTTCAAACCACATCTAGTTCCAAAGCTTTCTGTTATTCACTAGATTCTGAATGGCCTGCATAAATTCCTGCTTGCCAGTTTGTACAGATGTAAAAACTACTTTGTCAGATAATTTTAGGAACACAAACCTATCACAAAATGGAGGCTGGAGGGCACGTGTGTGGTCCTGACTATGCTATTGATGTCATGCTGCAAGTCATAGTAGACTGGTACCTCGTTGTAGCAAACTTCACTCTGTCTTGCCTGTTCCACCCTACTACAGGCTCCTCCTTCACATTTTTTGATTTAGAAACTTATGTTTTAATTTCAACTTTGTTAGGTTTTATCTGCCACATTAACTGTGAGACAATTCTCAAAATTAGGATCACAATTTCATTCTTTATTATGAAATTGGACATGTCTATATAAATAAAAAATCCTGCAGGATTAGAAGATAAATGATTTGTGGGCATATTACTTTGCCACTTAAATGCAAAAAAGATTTTCCATCTAATAGACATTTACCAAAAAAGAAAAACTATTCTGTAAGATTTCTGTCATGTAGACTTTGTTATAACAAAAAATTAAACATCTTTGTTATTTATGTAAAAAATGTTTTCCATTCTTCATTTATATATTTCACTGGTAAGGCACATTTAAAAAAGTACAGCATTCTGCCAAGCTTGCAGTTTTGGCCAAATTTCAACATGCTCTTAAATCCTAAAATAAAAATGTCTTTTAGGGAAATATGAGTAAGATATAAGTCATTAGTGACTCATTGCTTTCGGAAGATGAATAATTGGGTAACTTACACTGTGATTTGTTTTAAGAATTGTAATTTAGATACAAAATATTACTTATCTCTTTTTCCTAAATATTGTGGGATCTTTTTATTTGTTTTAACCATTTTTCATATATTATTTTTTAAAACAAAAAATGAGGAATCAGGCTTAAAATGTAAAACCTTTTCTGAGTCAAAAGACTAAATAAGTACTTAATTTCAAATTTCTACTAACATGTTGATATAAAATATTTGACTCTGATGCTGCAAGCCATGTTTAATGTATATCTTTTTACTCAATTTTTGATATTCCATAAAATGACTCTACATATCTACTTTTTAAGCTGCTAGAAAGAGTGAAAATGCAGTTGGCTTCTTTCCTGGAAGATCCTCAGTATCAAGACCAATATTCTTTGCATATAGAGATCATAAAAACATTTGGGAGAGTTGGGCCGAACGCAGAGCCAAGGTTCCGAGATGAGTGTAAGTTGCATTTTTCTACCTTTTTCTTGAATTGTAATGTCCTATCAGAGAAGATTACCTTTATTTTGGCTAATGGATATACCCTAGAATGTTTCTTGAAAGCTTACTTCTATTTTTAGAAAGCCTCCTATTTATCATTATTTTATTTGCAATTTTGAATCTTTATCCAATCTGCTCTTAAGAGAAAGAGTTCTGTAGAGGCCTTATATAGTGTTTTTCCTATTTTCCTTGGCCACTGAAGATCAGTTGTAGAATTATGCACATTTGGGTTATTATATTTTTAACCATTTATCTCCATCTGAGAAGTTAAGAAGTGAATTTTTTGCCTTTTTAAAAATTTTATTTTTATTGTTGAAGGTATTATAGATGTCACCTTTTTGCCCCCATCAACCCCCTCCACTTTGCACCCACAAAAAATAAAACTGAATTAATTGGTGCAGATGTCATAACCCAGGATAGCATATATACCCTATAATGAAATGTTGAATTCTGAAGTATATTTTTGTCTCTCTCCTGAGATTTAGGACGATTCTTAATTATAGCTTTTAACTGCCTCAAGAATAGGGTTTAAAATAACTTCTATAGATTTGATTTCTGGTTAAGCAATTTCAAGAGGATATTGAAAAGTGTGATTGTTGAGTTTCTAAGAAAAACATTTAGGAAGAGATTGCCTCTAATTGGTCAGAGAAGGAGCAGAAGGAATAAAGAGGCTGTGTGTCAATAGATAAAGAAATGCAATCCAGGTAAATTTTAAAAGGTTTGAGCAGAAATGAACTAGAGAATCTTAGAGAAAGACTATTTTAGAGCCACCATTTTGGTGGTTCTGTTCATTAATTGGCCTGCATCCAATGAATGAATTGGAATTTAAACATTTTCATTTGGAAATCATGAATGTTTGGAGTTTTTATCTCCTAAATTTATTTAGAGTTCTTGTGAATTATGTTGTTACTAATTTTCACAATTCAACCCCCCCCCCCTAAAAATGGCCATTATTATCCTAAGTTTGGGGGCGGGGGGGGGGGCGGAAGGGGGAATGGCCATTCTATCTTCTAGAAAAACCTCCTGCTTCCTTAACAGATACTATAAACACAACTTTTATGCTTGCCTTAGTAATTTCTAGGAGAATGTGGCTTTTAATATGCACAAACTCACCAAAACTGGTTTGGCTCAATGGATAGAGCATCGACCTGCGACTGAAGGGTGGGTCCCAGGTTCGATTCCAGTCAAGGGCATGTACCTTGGTTGCAGGCACATCCCCAGTGGGGGATGTGCAGGAGGCGGCTGATCATTGTTTCTCTCTCATCGGTGTTTCTGACTCTCTGTCCCTTTCCCTTCCTTTCTGTAAAAAACAATAATATATATATATTTTTAAAAAGAATATGTACAAACTCAATGTGAACATGAAAGAAATCAATGTATTTGGTCAGAAGTGTGTGTTTATGAATGGTGTTTAGGTTCCCCAACCAAGCAGAGACTTGATCTTATGATCACAAACAAGAGGCCTTGTGATCAACAATTTGATAATCACAAACCCTGGAGCCATTTCTCTAAGAAACCCTGGTGTTAGGGGGAAATGGTATGTATTTAGAAGTCTCAATCTTAGTCAGTAGGAGAACTCAATGCTACTGAATTTGTTACTGTTTCTTGAGCCATCACTTTTATTTTAACAGTAGGTTGCCTATACTTTTGAAATTTTACGTGAAATGAATATTGAGATATAATGTATTGAGCCCACTGAATGATTTAAAAGCACAACAACCAGTGTTGTTTGACATTGGTCTTTGCCAAGAATTTAAGAAACTAGTTTTAGAAAGGTGTGAAATAAATTGATGTTGAAAAAGAAAACATATACTGTGTTTATCTTTTAATAGCAATGCTAATACCTGATTCTTATAAAGAAACTTATTTGTAAAGATAATAACATAAAAGTAGGTTATTTACATTTGTTTATTTCATTTTTATTTTTCAAATTGGGAAATTGAATTGCCATGAGGCCAAATGACCTATATCCATGTTCATAATTAGGTCATAATGACAATGCTATAGTCTATTTCTCCCAATCCCAGATCACTCTATATTCTGAAATATATACTTTCTTTCCTATTAAGGGAGAGAAAGCTTAGAATGTGCCTTATCTTTTGAAACTAATTTAGAATTAAAATGAAATTTTATAAATTAAAATGAGGAATTATTTAAAATGTATGAGTGTTGTACGTGTCTATTTGGATTAAAATGTAATATTTTTCTTTTTTTCAGTTGTTATACCACATTTGCATAAGCTAGCCTTGGTGAACAACTTACAAATTGTGGATTCTAAAAGACTGGATATTGCTACCCATCTTTTTGAAGCCTACAGTGCACTTTCCTGTTGTTGTATCCTTGAATAACACGTATCTGATTTATAAAACCAATTTTACAGTGAACTATCTCTGCTGTTAAAGGTTAAGAAGTAGAATTTTTTTCTTCAACTTATATAAGAATTGCAAAAAATTAAAAATTTGATTTGACTTGCCCCACTCCTTATTCTAGCTGACTCATAACTTTACATACGTCCTCTGTGCATATATACTTTTAAAGCACTAACTAAAGTTTTATTTATGTTAATCAGCTATATAACTGAGCAAGAAATGAATTATAGCTCAGGCTTTTGTTAATCAAAAGAAAGCCTTGTATGTGTTCTGGTGGGGGTTTTTCAGTGAATGTTTAACCATCTATATTCAGTGGAATACAATGAATTCCTCTTGAGAGATATCACTCATTGAAAAAATACAATGCGCCCAGGCTGATGTGGCTCAGTTGGTTGAAGCGTAGTCCTGTACTCCAAAAAGGTGGCATGTTTGATTCCCAGTTAGGACACATATACAAATTGTGGGTTCAGTTCCCTCGTCAGGGCACATAAGGGAGGCAACCAATCAATGTCTCTCTCTCTCTCTCTCTCTCTCTCTCTCTCTCTCTCTCTCTCTCTCTCTCTCTCTCTCTCTCTCCCTCTCTCTCTCTCTTCCTTCCCTCCCTCCTTCCCTCCCCACCTTCCTTTCTCTAAAATCAATAAAATAATAATAATAATTTGAAAGAGTCCAATGCTGGCTGATCATCTCTAGTGGAGGAAAGCTCAGAGATCACCTAACATATCCACTGAGCCACACCGGTTTCGGCTTGAGATCACCTAACATATCAACCACTGCATTTTATAAATGATTAAAGTAAAGCTTACATTAGTGACTTCTGTTTTTTTATCATTAAAAAACAAAACTATACCCTGACAGTTTGGCTCAATGGATAGAGTGTCGGCCTGTGGATTAAAGGGTCCCAGGTTCGATTCCAGTCAAGGGCATTTGCCTTGGTTGCAGACACATCCCCAGTATGGCTGTGAAGGAGTCGGCTGATCAATGTTTCTCGCTCATTGATGTTTCTAACTCTCTATCTCTCTCCCTTCCTCTCTGTAAAAAAATCAATAGCATATATATTTTTTTTTAAAACAGTCACAGTTGAAACTGTGACTAGAACAAAGAATTTTAGCTATCCTCTTAAATGTTCTCTTTACTATTTAGGCCTCGAAAAATAAAACTGAGAATGAAGGAAAGATAAAATGAACTCTAGCTTCTGGGTTCTCCTATTGAAAGGCAGGTGAGTTCAAGAAAGGGGAAATAAGAGATCAAAAAAGGAGTGAAAGTCTGGATACTCAAACAGAAATATAAAAGTACATGCTGGACTAGACACCATAATCAGAAAATTTGATTATGACAGAAAAGAAATGACAGTTGAGAGAGGTTTCTAGTGATTCATGGAAGAAAGTAGAAGGCAAAGGAGAGTTTCAGGATTAAAATTTGTAGTTTCATATTGTGTATTTTTTTATTGAATTTATTGAGGTGACATTAGTTAATAAAATTATATAGGTATCAGTTATACAATTCTATAATACATTAACTGTATATTGAGTTTCATATTGTTACGTGACAGTTTTAAGTAATAAACAAAGTGAACAGATAATTTTAAATAAGATAAATATGTTCCAAAATGCCACTGAAACTCATTGGCACTGGATTCTTGAGTGGAATGTTTCTATTTTGTTTAGAATAAATCAAATGGAGAAAGTAGAAACTTTAAAAGCTATTTTTTGGGGAGCTATTTGTATTTTTGGAAATTTTAAGACGAAGTTGGGTGCATGGTTGAGAGTTTTTTATTTGAGAAATTGACTACAAATTATTCATCTGGCCAGTGTAAGTGATTTTTTTTGTAATACAGATTTTAAAGTGAGCAGAGACACCATATTTTAATAATTTTGTGCCTCAACTCTCCATTTGTTCATCTTCTATAAGTTTAATTCCACTAAAAGGAGAACTTATTATTCTTGATTTATCTTGTTGGCATTTCAACTTATTCAAGATAGAGGAAGCAAAAAGAGGAAGCGATATTCTGAATTAGCAAGGAAGAACTCTTTAGTAATGGAGAAATGGTAGGCCCCTTATAGGAAAGTAGTAATGGCATGTCAGAGTTTGCATTTCAAAGAAAGAAAATATTGTAATGTTTATACCTACTTCCTAGACTTTGTAAAAGTAGATGTTTACTGAAGCAATAAGTCATGTATATTCTTAAATAGCAGAGGATTTCAAAAGGAATACATCTCAAGGAAAATGGGAAAGTTAAAAGATCAGAAACTTTAGCTCTATAGTGGCAAGGTAATGGTTTCTAAAGAGCACAAAAGTCTGCATACGAGGAATATCATTGTGGGTTTAAGCATGCACAGGATATTACTAAAGTAAACACAGTAAAAAGTCTTTACACCAATATAGTAATGGGAGGAACCAACTTAACAATAGACCCTGTTCAAGTATTAAAAATGTTAGTTCTGCATGAGTCAAAGATTGTACTTATGTCAACAGGATGGTGTGGCCACTAATAAAATCACATTGTCCAAGTCTGTTCTGTTCCATTGCATTCTGAGCTGAAAGACCACAAGAGTATTCCTATCAATACTGACATAATATTTTAATAAGGACACAGAATAACTATAGTGTTTAACACAGAATAACTATAATAAATTAAGAAATTATATTTGTAAAAAATTTTAAGAAATTTAAGAATTTTTAACCGGAAAAGAAATAGCTTGGGTATGAAAAGATAATTCAAAAATAATGTTAAAGGTTGATATTAGATATGAAAAAGTTTAGGCACCCTATCACTAAGGTGCAGGACTAACACTAATAAGCAGAGGTCTCAGAGAGGACGATTTTGTATATTAGACTTTTTAATGGAGCTATCCAAAAATGCAAATTTGTTGTTGTTGTTGTTGTTGTTATTAATCCTCACCTGAGGATTTTTTTCCATTGATTTTCAGAGAGAATGGAAGGAAGGGATGGGGGAAGTGGGGGGAAGCACGCACAAAACATCCATGAGAGAGAGACACATATCGATAGATTGGTTGCCTCCCACACGAGCCGAAACACTGGGCATGGGATAGGGATCGAACCTACAACTCAGGTAGTGCCTTTGATGGGGAATCAAACCCTCAAGACTTCAGTATAGGGACCCACAATCTAACTATTGAGCAACCAGCCAGGATGCAATGATCTCTCTTAGGAAACTGAATGTTTCATAATGTCCTGTCATTGTTAGCAGTGAGGGGCCTTATGACCATCATTTACAGATGAAATAAAGGTGATTCCTAATATGAAATAGTACTAAATGACCTCTAAGTCTTCAATCCTTAAGAAAGATTGATCCCATGGGGAAAAGGTAAAACCAAACAGAGAGTAAAAAAAGAGGAGAGTGAATTCCCTCTTACATCCAGATAAGGCCATCTTCAATTTCTTAATCCATGCACATATTTCTAGATCTAAGTCTCAACTACTAATCCAAAGGTCATTCATAGTTCCACCTTGGTGGTACTTTCCCCATATGTAGAAAATAAGGCTACATGACCATTAGTTTGCAGCCCTCTCTATGTCTATAGGGGCTTGGTTTACAAGTCATTCATTATATATAGGAACCTTACTTATATAATATATAATGAACTTAAGACCCTTCAGTGTAGGGGAGGATGCTCGAACCACTGGGAAACACCATTCAAGGCCAATGTTATTACTTTTTATATTCATTTTACTCACTTAAACATCCAATTAAATTACATGATTTAATGTTCACATTATTTCATATTTATATAATGTAATTATGTAATGTTAAAATAATGAATACCACTGACAAAGAGATTTGTGGGAATAAACTCAGTTAACACTTGACAAGCAACTAATTCAACAAATGAGAATCATGTTTGCAGAAGCCTATTTACTCTAGGTGATCTGCATGCCATAGTCATTGTTTAAGAGAGCTGCTGCTTTTTGTTATTTTACTGTTCTATTGGACATAATAGTTGTGTGGGTCTTTTTTTTTTAATTCCCTTAACTATGTTGTCTCAAGTCATATCAGAGGACTTAATGGTTAATCACTTTTTACCTGGTCTCAGATGTTTGCGTACCGACATGGAACATCTTTCTCCAGAGCATGAGGTAAGATACTATGATGATTAAGCCACTGTGATCATCAGTGGTGTGTTCATATGTTTCAATAGCTCCTGTACAGATTTTTGTTTCTCTATATGAGGCATGATTATAATATGCTGCACTTAGTTTTTTAAAAATTAGTTCAATGTCCTTTTATGGATTTATTTACTAATTATAAGATCTGGAGCAACTCCTTTAACATCTTTGAGCCTGTTTCATTCTCTAAAGTAGAGATTACATACTTTCACTAAATATAATCAGAATTTAATAAGATAATGTACATGAAATGCTTTTAATCCGTAAAATGCTATACAGTGTCATCTCTGATCAACTTTCATTCAGTTTATCTCCCTATTTCCTTCAAAACCTTATCATTCATTTCTTGCTAGTGGCCCAATGCACAGATTCGTGCACACTGAAAGGAAATTAATTAGAAGAAATATTTTAATATCGCTATTTACCATTTCTCTATAATAGAAGTGTCAGAGATGAATGAAAATTAGTAAAATGTACATGAAAATAATATATAAATTGATTATAAATGAACAATAACAAATGATATAACAACAACAAAGACATGATATGAAAGCAATAAAAACATGATATAAAAACAACATTGATAAAAACAATGACTGATAAATTAATAAAACTTATTCCAATATCTCCCTGCAAACTACATTAAGAGTAAAAACACTTGCAGGGTGCTTGACTAATTTCTTTTGTAATGAAGTATTTACAACTTGAACGTCACACGCTCTTCAAACTAAAGAGAAAGCAACATATAACTGACCGTGTCCGAAAATAGGTTCAGGTAGGAATATTCCTATTCTGTCTAGAGTTTGTCCTTGTGATTTATTAATAGTCATTGCAAATGCTGGCATCACTGAAAACTGTCTTCGAATTAATTTAAATGGGAGGCCAGTATCAGACGGCTTACTCCTTTTCAGTCGGGTCAAGTTTTTAAACTTTCTAACTCTCTGTTTTCTGGCTAATGAAAGGAAAATAGGATCTTCCTACTCCAGGACGTCTGTGAGAATCAAATGAGTTGAGACACGTAAAAATGCTTCACAAACATTTGGTTAAACTGTAAAAATTTTTGCTCCTGGCTATAAAGCAAATCGTGTTCCTGGGCTAAAGAAATTCCAAGGATGCTAGTCGCTAGGGAGAGGAAGCCAGGTGTTACTATGTGACATCATTACCTGTCACCTACAGTGACTGTTGCTATGGGCCACGGACTGAGCTGTGGGCCACATTTTGCACCTTGGGGTCTTAACAGTGTCGGCTGTGATTTGGTGGGGTGTCACTCCAGGGTGGTGGTAGAGCCTTTGTCCCAGTTGAGGAAAACTGCGTGTTGGTTGGTCGACACCAGATCCATGGTGCCATTTATTTTTAAATGGCCTGTAATCTGTTATGTTGACTCTCTCCCTTAAAGAAAGCAAAACAAAATAAAAACAAAACTTCCCTCATACCTCCCCAAATCTCTTTCCTTCTCCTTAGTCTATTCACTGTGTCAACTTGCTCACTGCCTGTTGGTATACCATGTTTGTTACCATCACACTAACCCAATGAACTGTTCTTCCTAAGATTTCTGGTGATCAAAGTGAAAGGACACTTTTCACATATGATAGTATTTATATAGGAGTCCATACCCTTTTCATCCATATCTTGTCAACACTTGGTATTCTTTTTTTAAAAATATATTTTATTGATTTTTTACAGAGAGGAGGAGAGAGGGATAGAGAGCTAGAAACGTCAATGAGAGAGAAACATCGACCAGCTGCCTCTTGCACACCCCCTACCAGGGATGTGCCCACAACCAATATACATCCCTTTGACCGGAATCGAACCTGGGACCTTTCAGTCCGCAGACTGACGCTCTACCACTGAGCCAAACCGGTTTCAGCAACACTTGGTATTCTTAAGACTCTTCAGGTTTGTTTTGTTTTGTTATTTTTTAAAGATACATTTTTATTCATTTTCAGAAAAGGGAAGGGAGAGGGAGAAGTGGATAGAAACATTAATGATTAGAGTATCATTAATTGCTGTCTCCTGCACACTGAGGATTGAGCCTAAAACCTGGGCATGTGCCCTTACCAGGAATTGAACTATGCCCTCTTAGTTCATGAATTAATGCTCAATCACTGAGTGACACTCAAGACTTTTTAATTTGATGGGTATAAAATAAAAACAAAAACTATACCTCCTATATTTCTAAAATGTTTCAAAGTTGTATATATATTTTTTAAAAATCTTAATCCATCTAGAATTGATGTGAGGTAGATCACATCACCTCTGTGGACAAGCAGTGGTCCCATTTGAACAGCTGATTAGCTGTCTAGACTGATCAGCAGTGCCACCTCCCTCATGCATAGAGTCCCCGTATGTGTGTGTGTCTGTTATTAGGGAGCATTCTTTTCCATTGGTCTCATGGTCAGTTACTAAAACAATGACGTACAGTCTTCATACAGTGGCCTTGTTAAAAAGTCCTGAAAACTACAAGGGCAAGTGCAGCATTGCATTGTGGCCTTTTTCTAGGACTGTTCATGATCCTTAGCTTTTTCATGTAAATTTAAGCATTATAGTAACAGTTTCTAAAAAAAAAAACAAAAAAACTTATTCAGATTCTTATTGAAATTGAATTCATTCTAAATTAATTTGGGGAGATATCATCTTCATGATTTTAAGTCTTTTCATCTAGAAAAATGTTATAGCCTACATTTACTTAGATGTCTTTCAATGAAGTTTTATAATTTCGTCTGAGAAAATGTGACACCTTATATTTATATTATAATGCTGTCTTTTTTAGGATTATATATTTTTAACCCTTTGTTTTCGTATAGGAATACATATAACTTTTGTATGTTTAATGTATTTCTGGCCAGCTTGAGAAATTTTAGTATCCTAATAAAATGTCTCTGGATTTTTGTGTGTATGTTTTATATATAGAACTGTCATCTGCAAATAATATATTTTTTAGTACTTTATTTTTTATTTTTATCTTATAGGATCTATATTGCTTTCCCTTTTTCACTTCTGATATTGTTTTTTGCTTTTTCTTTTAAATAGTTTTAATAGGATTTATTGATTTTATTAATTTTATTAATATTGAACTTTTGGCTGTATTGTTTTTTCTCTATTCATTTTCTATTTTATTGATTTCTATTTTCATCTTTATTTTTGCTTTTTTTAGGTTTAATTTTTTTATATTTTTCTGATTTCTTAAGGAGGAAGCTTGGATTTACTTTTAACTATTTTTTATATAACTTTTTAACCTTTCTTTATTTCTAACACATGAATTTAAGGCTGCTCAGAAAACCTTCATGTAAATTTTAACATTCTTCACCTTGGCCTTCTTACTCAGTGTTCTTTTCTAAAGCCCTTATCACCTTATTGTCTAGAATATAGGACTATAAGCTCTTCGCAAGGAGGAAATATTGTTCGTTTTATTGCTGAATTCTCTATGTTTAAAAAGGTTCCAGGGACATAGGAACTGACAAAATATTTGTTGTTTAGTGACCTCGGTTCCCAAACACAGGCCAAGAATATTCTGAAAGGCCATTTGTTTCTGGCATGGTTGCTAGCAATAGGAGCAGCAGTTTCTTAGGCCCCTCCCCCCTTTCTATCACTACTCAGTCTCCCTGCAAAAATGATGTGAACTCTTGGACCCCCAAGGTATAGTATTTCAGACTATAGTAGCCACAGACCTACTAGGGCTCTGCTGTAAACATTAAAATAGAGCACCTTGTTTTTTGCAACCCCGAAAAAGCAAAGATATATAGGATAGAACAGCTTTTACTGAGAAAAATGTGTGTGGCCAGAGTATGCATATATGTTAAATGTATAGATGTATATACATTTTACTCTTAACATTAGATGATGGGGGAAACTAAGGAAGAATGGGAATCAGATTTAGAAGGAAGGTTAGTGAAACTCAAAATAAATTATTGTTATATGATTGAGATCTTTTAATGCTATTTCTGCTCCTGATTTAGAAACTTAATGTGAATTCCTTTAACAAAGTAACTGTGAAGACTACATTTTTAAGTAACTTATTAGCTTATGGGAATATTAAAAAACGTTAGATTAACCATAGAATTTCACTATGTCAACTGTATTTCACTGAAGTTATTTCTTTAATCAGGTTATTTTAAGTTCCATGATAAAAGAATGTGAACAAAAAGTAGAGAATAAGACTGTCCAAGAGCCTCAAGGGTAAGACATTAATTTCTTTTTAAAGACTTCACATTAACCTTAAATTCTGTAAATTTTATATATTAATATGTGGTAATGGTGTTTTATTTTGTGTTATTTTGTAGAAAATTAATACATTTTCAGTGATTATTTGGCAAATATGAACATTCTTTAAGTTAGCAGTTCTCAAATACTAGTCCGTAACCCACCTGCATCAGAATTACCTAGAGAATTTAAAATTCAGATCTCTGCCCCATTCTCTGTGCTCTCCTCTCAACATTCTCATTCAGCCTAGAGATCTGTATGTTTAAAAACTTCCATCGTTTATACATGCTAGCTTTGGGAATTACTGGTCAAAATAACTTCTTAGAAATTTGTGACAAGACTTTGTAAGCTGTAACTTAACTCACTGGATAAAGGATTATAAACTTTTGCTTCTAATTAAGTTAATTAGAATTCAGAGATCCGGTGGAATGAAAATACAAACATAAATATGCAGGAGTGAAGTTGGGCATTGAGGAGAGATAGTAATTTGCAAATAGACAGTATCCTCTTAGCTCTGGCTAATGTAACCTTGAGCAGTTTATCTAAATGGACAGTTACGTAAAAAACTCAAAGGTGTTTTAAAGCTGACTGCCAGGAATAAATGTTTCATCCTGTCAGGCTAGGTACGTATACACACACACACACACACACACACACACACACAATCTAATGAGTTAAGTAATAAACTTATTTCCATTTTTCAAATGAAGATTATATTACAGATGAGATTAAATAATTTACCCAGGATCACACAGCTGGCAAGTACAGAGCCAAGATTCAGTCTCATTCCTGATTTGCTCCAAACTACTACACAATATTGTTTCCTTTAATAAAAGGATGATCCTGAAAGCTCCTGACCTCATCTGGTACATAGAAACGCCTCCCCATCCATATTAGTTTCCCTTTTGTGATACCACTTCAGAATATATTTACTAAAGAATGAAAAATTTGCTATTTTAGCTTTTTAATCCATTTATAGCAATTTTAAACTTTCTTCTCTAGCTCAATGTCAATTGCTGCAAGCTTAGTGAGTGAAGACACAAAGACCAAGTTTTTGAACAAAATGGGCCAATTGACGACATCAGGTGCCATGCTGGCCAATGTATTTCAGAGGAAGAAGTAAAAGCCAGGAGGAAGTCCCCCGTAGACACTATGATGGACCTCAAGCAGACTGGTTCCTTGTACTTGAAGTACTTGCCTTTTTTATTGCTTTGTTTTATGTTCTTGAATTATAATTTTATCCTAACCTCCAAAGATATTTGCACTGCTTTTGATTATTGCTGTATACCTGTTAATTTTGGAGTTATAACTGTGGTGATAGGAAATTGAGTTGATACTCTGTACCAAGTAAGTCCCTCTTCTATGTTCTTGTCCTTCAAAATATTTTTATATATATATATAGTGAAGAGGGGTTTTTGTTTTTGTTTTTTTTAATTTTTGGATGGGATATTGGCAAATATCTGTATTATACACTAAGCTATTACAATGGTACTTAAAATAATGTAAATTTGAAGTCATTGTTATAAAGTAATAAAAGTGGAAATTACTTAAGTATTTAAATTATGAAAGAATAATGCAGACTTTTTATTGTTTCTTAACTGACTAGAAAGAGCCACCAGCATTACTCTGTGCCTTTTGGACTTCAGTTTGTGTGTCTGTGGGAATTGTGTGCATTCCATTCACACAGTATTTATAGCGCTGTGATGAAGTTGAATTACAGATCCTGCAGTACATGGATAATAATGAAACTTTCAACATTTCAGAGCTCTCCTGAATATTCTTTAAGTGCTATTTAAACCTCCCCAGCACTCACATGCATATAATGGACTTATCTGAGGAAAGACAACACATCAACATGGGGAGTGGTAACCAACATGGGGAGTGGTAACCAAGATGAATTTAGAAACTGCTGTGTAGTAGATTTAAATATTAAAAAACAAATGTAAGAAAGAAGAGCTAATAATTGTGAAAAATTTCCCAAATTGAAATACAGAAGAAAAAAAAAAAGTGGTTCAAATCTGAAATTGAACACTTATTTATGTAAAATATTTTGTTTAAGATATTTTCTAATGATTTTAATTTTACAGACTATCTTTTCATTCTGCGTGTTACAGAAAAGTACCTTTAAGTTAAGGACATTTGGGGGCTGTTCTTTTCCCTCTAAGCTAAAATTGACATTGGCTAAATTATTATTGGTTAGTTAACACCTTGTCCCTTAAAGTCAGTGATTGTTCTTGTGTTTGATGTATATTACATAGAGTCTAAGTCAGTGTATAGGTCCCCTGGAATTTGATAGTTGTCTATAAAGTAACGCAACTTGAAGTAGAAAAGAGTGATACTGGACTTAGAAGGGGTAATTGGTTTGAGGGGTTAATGTGAGGCCTTTTTGAAAAAATGATATTTTAATAAAGAATTCTCGTTTGAGCACAGTCAATGCACATAGGTGATTCTCATATTTGTTGTATAAACTGGTTTCATATTACATTCATTTTCTGAGAAGCTACCTTATCACACATTCAAGCTTATAAAATCAGTTGACATAAGCAAAGCCATTTCAAAAGTTCATTCTGAAATCATTTCTTTTACCTACAGTGAAATAATTGTTAACAAACTAGTCTTTCTGAAAACTGTTGGATTCTAGGCATTCCTGAGAAATTGAAAGTGGCTACCTTTCGTGTCAAAAATGTTGATCTATTATAAATAAAATGTTTTCCATACTTGTTTTGTTTTTGGCTCTGTGTATTTACTTCCGTTTTTGAAACACTATGTCTTTAAGCAAAAGGAAATGAGAAAGTATATACTCATTAAAATGTACTAATATGTTATTTTAGGAATATAATCTATATGAGTTATCTATTTTAATTTTTACTATGATAAAAAAAGATTATTGCTATAAAATTATACATTTTCAGTGATGACTTAAAGAAAAATGTTTAAACTCTCATTTGCTTTGAACCATAGCAGAATAAGTATGTTTGTTACCAGGTAAATAAATATAATGTATTTTTATTGTGATAATTTTTATTAATTTGTGAATCCATTTAGCTAATTGCTAATGTTTTTTTAAGCCATTAGCTAGCAAGATATATTTTATACAATTTATTTTGAGTCTCCCTTATATATAAATATCTAAATGTCAGTAGGACTTCACATTTATTTTTATATTGATTTTTATATTAAAATATGGATTCTTTAAAGATAAGACAGACACTAATCACTGAGACTGTGTTCTTCCAAACAGGCTATAAAGCTCCCATACTTACTTTTTTTTTTTTTTTTTTTAAGAATTTAACGGTATCATCACTTAATAACTCATTCTTTTTTTTAGAATATATTTTATTGATTTTTTACAGAGAGGAAGGGAGAGAGATAGAGAGCTAGAAACGTCAATGAGAGAGAAACACCGACCAGCTGTCTCTTGCACACCCCCTACCGGGGAAGTGCCCACAAACCATGTACATGCCCTTGACCGGAATCGAACCTGGGACCTTTCAGTCCGCAGACCGACGCTCTACCACTGAGCCAAACCGACTTCAGCCATACTTAGTTCTTTTTAAAAACAAATTAAAACACAAGTTTAAGCGTGCAACTTAACAGAAAGCCATGTTCCAAATAACGAAAGGCCAATTTGAAATTATATTTTCCGTTGATTTTTAGAGAGAATGGAATGGAGGAAAATGGGGAGAGAGAGAGAGAGAGAGAAAGAAATATCTATGTGAGAGAAACACATCAATTGTTTGCCTCCCACATATGCCCCAACAAGGGCTAGGGATTGGACCTAGCACCCAGGTATGAGCCCTTGTCTGGGAATGGAACCTGAGATCCTACAGTGCAAGGTCTGCTGCTCTAACCACTGAGCACACTGGCCAGGGCTAGATGCTTTTTCATTTCTGATTATTACTTGACAATTTTTAATGTAAATCATTTTCTAATTTATTTTTATATGGATTTTATAAGTAATCACCTTTGTCTTAATTTCTTTAAGACAAATTATTTTGTCTTAACCATCAGACAGTATGAAAATAATAACATGTTCTCTTCCTCACAGAACTTTGTGAAAACTACATAATAGCAAACCTGAAAGTGTTCTAGCATTTAGAAAGTATTAGGAAAGTTTAAAGTCGAATTAAAATTTTTAAATCACTGAATAGCTAAAGCATGGGTTACTGGGTAACCCCGCCCCATATTTTTGTCTTCTAGTAAGTGAGTAGGTAAGATGCCAGGCAGGATTTACCTAGGATTGCAGGAAAGTGAAAGTAGGTGATGCGGCAGCAGCTACAGGCCATAACAGTGAAATCCTTGGGAAGGCCAGAGGGTGAAGATTCAAGAGGGAAGGCAAAGGGAAGCAATGATTGCCTTTGTAACGGGAGAAAGCAGAGAACAGATACATTTGGAGGTAAGTTGGTAGGTTTACTGGTGGGAAGATTAGGGAGTTTCCATTTGATTCCTTCTATTTTCTCATCTGTATCCTCAGCCTCTTCTCTAAGGGGTTGTTCTTCATCTCTTATTAATTGAATCCCACTACCCCTAACACACGCCTTTCCCTGCTAACCTTTTAAGTGGAGGCTTTTTTATTTTTGTTCTCACAGATCTCTGTACCTTAGAGCCTGTAGGTAGAACAGGAGTTTTATTTGCTTTTCATTTCTACTGCCAAAGGAGTATGAAGCAAAGACATTAACTTGACAGGCATATGGAAAGTATTGGAGGTTCAAAGAGAAGAAGGTAGATTTGGTTGCCTTTGAGAACGGCAGAGTGAATTATTGAGGAAACTGTAGGATTGCCAAGCAACTTAGAAAGCCCAATTTTGAATACTAATTATGAATTTAGAGCGAGCTAATTCAAACAATTGTTTGTAATACGTTTTTTATTAATTTTTCAGAGAGAAAGGGAGAGGGAGAAAGAGAAACATCAGTGATGAGAGAGAGTCATTGATCAGCAGCCTCCTGCACACACACCCCTCCCCACCACACTGGGGATAGAGCCTACAACCTGGGCATGTACCCTGACCAGGAATTAAACCGGTGACTTCCTGGTTCATGAGTCAACACTTAACCACTGAGCCACATTGGTTGGGCTGTTTGTTCTTTTTCTCCAGCTAGGATCAGCTAATCAGGAGCAGATTAGCTGTAAAGTATTCAGAGAATAAAGTGCATGTCATAGCAAGCGGTTGAGTGGCCTTAGCATATCATTAGCATATTATGCTTTGATTGGTTGAACAGACAACCAAACACTTAGCATATTAGGCTTTTATTGTATAGGATTAATATGGACATATACTAGTAGTTGGTCTTTAGCCCATTGGTGTACTACATTAATTGATTTGTGAACCAAGGCCTGGTTTTTCCAAATGCTTAAAAGTGGGAGAAAGGACAAGGATAGGATATTAAAACTACTAACCAAGGAATGATTATCATGATGGACCAAAAAATCCAAACTGGACAAAAGGAAAAAAGATTGAAGGTAGGAGGATAGTCTGAGGGACAAGTCAAAAATATGTTTGGTGAGAATATTCAAGTAAGTGAGCTAGAAAAACACTCCTTTTGGGAGTCGAAATGAAGCAAATAAAACACCTGTTCTACCTCCAGGCTCTAAGGTACAGAGGTTTGTGAGAACAAAAAATAAAAACCCTGCATTTAAAAGATTATCAGGGAAAGAGGTGTGTTAGGGGTAGTGGCATTCAGTTAAAGTGAGATGGAAAATAAGCTTTTAGAGAAGAGGTTGAGGAAATAGATATCTGAAAAATGTTCAGAGTAACTCAAGGGTAAGAGCTCAGATCAACAAAGGTTGGGCTGAGTGAGGAAAGCAACATTACGAGGGTGGCATTAGGCTGATACTCTCAGAGGTATGCGGCCTATTAGGCACCTGTTCTCTGCAAATCAAAATCTTGCTGATCTTAGAGGGAAAGTTTGAAGGTTCTCAAAGGTGTAGGGTTTTAGTAGGTATTTATCAAGTTGAGGATACTCCCCTCCATTTCTAGTTTACCAAGAGTTTTTTTGTTTTTGTTTTTTATCAGAAATGGCTGTCGGACTTTGTCAAATGCTTTTTCTATATCTACTAGAGGCCCGGTGCACAAATTCATGCACCAGTGGGGTCCCTTGGCCTGGCTTGTGAGATCTAGTTGAA